CTAATTTATATATTGATTTGTGGTTAATATTGATTCTCACAGTTACCACAAACAACTCAGTTCTCCCTTAAATAGGCCCCTATATATATATATATATATATATATATATATTAAATGCAATATAAATATATTTATTTATTTAATTATTTTTTGAAAATCCCAAATACTAGTTGTTCTTGCTCTTTTCTAATATCTAAACCTACCATTGATTTCATCAATTATCTCAATTGATTGAATTCATCCTTAAAATTATCCCAACCCTATCCGACTAACCCGAACCCGAATTACTCCGAAACCCAAAATTTGGGCTTCTTTTCCATATCCGAAATCCGATCGAATTTTGGATTTGTCCACCCGACCCCCCCCCCCCCCCGGTTGCATACCCTAATTATTAAATGGTGTAATACTGTTTGGTTTTATATAATATAATGATTTCATTTTTTTAAAAGTCAAAGTTTTTATCTATTCACTGTCAATTTAATTTTCATTCGCCTGAACCAAACACCCACTTAACTTATTCTCACAAGTAGAATTCTTTTATATGAAAGGTACATCCGTGTTAAACTTTAAAGGATGCTTAATGATATTAAAAAAAATATAAGAAACATCAACTAAAAAACTGGGAAATTTTTTTTCTCTAGAAATAAAATAATAATAATAATAATAATCTCGAAATGAATCAAAAAACTTAAAAATCTTTTGAAACTATGGAACTCGGTTAAAAGCACATTAAACGACTTTTCAGATTTTTGATCCACCTTAAAGATACATCGACTCGAGAAAATCTAGGTCTGCTGTTGCATAATTTTTTTACATATATAATTATTAACTGATTGTTTTGTCATAATTTCACATGGTTGGAGAAGAAATATATGCATAAAAACAAATAAAGTCGTAAGAAAAACATAATTCAAAATTAAACGATTTTTTTATTACTGGTTTTTTAATATGGTAAAAGTCAAATATGACCTCCTGAAATTGCCAAAAAATAGATATTTCTAGAACAAATTATTAATGACAAACGGCCTCATTGTCAAAGACCTACAACAGGTTTCTTCTTTCTTTTGGTTGAATGTATTAAAAGTTAATTTATTTGAATTTATAATTAAAAATTATTATTATGAGTATTTTTAAATTTCAAAAAAAAAAAAAAAAACTACACAAATTCATTAAAAACAATAAACATTTTATTTTAAATATTTTAATACTAATTATATTATTAAAATATTATATAAGTTTATTATAGTAGTACTCTTCTAATGGACCGGACTCTAAAAACATCTCCCAATATATCGTTCAAGAATCAAAAATCAAAAATCAAAATTTTTAAAGAAGATATTATATTCATCTTTAATAAATTTTTATTGGAAAAATTATATCAAAATGAAACCAACTTTCACCTGATTCTTATTTTGGGGAATCAACTTTCAAAATTTTTATAAAACTTTTTGTTTATTTAAGGATATGGTTGGCATGTTAATGCTGGCATCGTCAAGATCTTTTACCAGCTAAGAATACTACGTCATATTAATTTTTTATTTTAAAACTAATATTCTACGTCATATTGATTTTTTATTTTAAGACTAATATTCCATGTCATATTTAAAATTGCAAAATAATTATAAAAAATAACCAAAATTCATTTTTTTAAATTACTGTAATAAAATTTATTTTTCATTCCAATTCTCGTTTAAAAAAAATTCAGATATCAAATTGAAGATTTTAAAAAAAAATCTAAATTACCAAAATAAAAATTGTTTTTTACTAATGCAATAAAAAAATTAATTGATGCAATAAAAAATTAATATCAATAAAAATTAATTTTTTTATTGCATCAATAAATATTTGATATTTATTTTTTATTGCATCAATTAATTTTTTCTATTAAATTAATTTTTTATTGCATTGGTAAAAAATAATTTTTATTTTGGTAATTTGGATTTTTTTTGAAAAAATCTTCAATTTGATATATGATTTTTTTAAAAACGGGATTTGGAATGAAAAATAGATTTTATTACAATAATAATAAAAAAAACGAGTTTTAGTTATTTTTCTATAATTATTTTGCAATTTTAAATATGACATGAAATATTAGTTTTAAAATAAAAAATTAATATGACGTGGAATATTAGTTTTAAAATAAAAAAATTAATATGAAGTGGAATATCTTAGTTGGCAAAAAATCTGGATGATATCAGCATTAACAGGTCAACAGATTAACTAGACCCTTAAATAAATAAAAAGTTTAATAAAGACCTGTAAATGACAATTTTGAAAGTTGGTTTCTCAAAATAGGAATCAAGTGAAATTTTTGGTTCCATTTTGGTACAATTTACCCTTTTCATTTTAGAGATTACAATATAAATTATATTATTAAAATATTCAATATCTTTTTATAAAATATTATTTTTCTCTAAATTTCAAAATTTTCACCCATGTAGTTTACTTAAATATTTAAGTATAACATTACTTCACAAACACCTTTCTTATTATAAATTTCAACAATCCAATGTCACATTGAAGCTAACTTCAAAGCTTTACCAACCATTACATTCAAGTGATTATGGTTCATTTGGTAACAATAGAGATTACAAGTTATTCTCAAATAGCAGACGAACCATTTTCGTTCTATAACGAGAGAGGAAGCAAGACTGTTTGATTTGAAGCCGTTAAACGAGTTTAAGGACACTTGATATTTTTGTTCAACACTTGTTTAAACAGACTCTAAACATCAGATAATACAACCAAAGCAACATCCCCTTTACAAATATACAAAAGTAGGTATATGTTACATTTTGTTTTCTTTGCAAATACACTGAAATCACAAAGTGTGGATGTCATGACCAAGTACGATATTTCAAGGCGAACATAAACATATGCTAGAGAGAAGATAAAGTATACAAGCGAGAGGGTGCAAAGCAATGCACTGAACGCCATTAAACACAAAAAAATAATTCAAATATTTGAAGGTCGATGATAACTTCTATTATCAATATTAACAATACCACGATATCAAATTTCTAGTTGCTGAAAAGCTCCCCGGCTACCTTTTTCATCATGCGCTTTACCTATACATCGTAACATAACAGAACAAGTCAAATACCTAGAAGCTAAAAATAATCATCTTTTTTGCTGTTTATACTAATGAATTTCGGAGAGTAATATGCATCAACAAGTATACAAGTTCTCAAAATTTGATAGTGTGTACGCATAGTAGATATGCATAGTTTGATAGTGTGTATGCATCTATGAGCATCAGGTTCTCAAATTTTTTGCGGTTCTTACATGAAGCTGAGCATACTATTATAAAGCCATTAATTAATTGGGTAATGATTAATATGAGATTTAAACTCAAGACTTCAAGATTATCATAAACATATTTGTTCTTTCCTAATGTTATATAGAGGTGGTTTCATTTACGAACCCAACCATTAGTACAAACCATACAAACCATTTGATTAAGATATTTATGAAAATGACGTGAGTTCATTTATTATGATCTGCATATTTATGGAAGATTATCAAAGTTCATTTATTATGATCAATGCTTTATATCAATAAACAATCAAAATATTAATTGAACCAAATATTCATTAGACTAGATGGACGGTTGAGATTGATTCGTATGGTCTGTACTAATATGACAGTTTGTAAATGATCCGTACTCTATATAACCATTAGTAAGAGTATGTACCTGTTTTGCTGAAAGACCAATATCCTGCAGATCATCAAGCTGCCAAACCAAACACAGGAGTATACAATTAGCAAATAAAAGCACAATAAACTATGTTGAAATTTTGAAGGATCCTTATTTTGGGACGTTTATATAATATGTTATTGTTTCGTACGTTTTTAAAAGGTTGAGGGGATTCTTCACGAAGTTCACAAATGTACGAAGCTCTCTTCTCTCCAATACCCTGCAGAAGTTGAGGTTTTAGGACATAAAAGTATAAACCGAATACAAAAAATGTGACACTTTTAACACATAGTTACCCATATCCCTTTCAAGTCCTCCCTGTTAACAAAACAACATAATGTAAATGGTATTAGTTTATGGATGTACGGATAACAAAAAAAGTATAAATGTTAATGAAGTTTTCATGAAGAATATAAGTATATACGATAGGAAAATACTAACTTGCTAGCTGTATTTAAGAATTCCAGATAGTCTTGAACAAGTGATTGCTGTAAACAGAAATACAGTAGGTTAGCAACTTGGAATATAAACTAAAATTAATTTTAGAAGAGAATAGCATAGTCAAACCAACCTTCATCCCCGAGCTACGCTTGCTGAATGTTCCTGATGGACAGTTAGAAAAATCCATCTTATGTGTAACTATGGGAGTTTTTGGTTCGACAGCATCAATGATGTTGCCAATTTCAGTATTAGCCACCTGGGGCGTACTTGTAGGCAAAGGAGTTGAACATAAAGATTGCAGGTTCATCGACAATTCTTTTAATCTAACACTTAATGGTGGTGATTGGCCTTCATTGACAAGCAAATTATTGTCCTCCTTAACTATGTTATCACCTGTAATGTAAATAAATTAAGTATTACAAACATTTTTCAATTTCAATACAAGTTTATTGTTGTCATACACATCATCAGAAGAAATAAATGTTAAAGCTGTCTGTGTATATTAATCTATCTGTATAGATTAGGAAAGTTTTTGTTTAGGAGGGTTTATTCATAGATGGAAGAAGCATGCTTTTTCATTGGAAGGGGCAGATTTTGAAAAAACTCGACTTTCTGCATAAAGGTCTCCCTTGGAAGCTTACACAATAAGTCAGTTTCTATATCATTAAGCCACTACCAAACAGTTATGAATGGCTGACCAAAAAAGCTGCAAGTTCCATTAAGTTCATTAAGATGCTAACAAACATGCCCTTACCATCAACTAGAGGAGTGACTTCTTTACAATTGCTTTCTGCCTTTACCAAAGCATCCTGCAACATAATTACAATAATAAATCCACAAACCGTTGCAATAATATCCAAAGGTCGTGAAATTTGTGGCATTTTAGAACTCAATATGTATTTCAAAACCATAATAAAACAATAACCTCTTCCTTCAAAGCAATTGAATTATCTTGAGTAGCAACAGATACAGGAATTTCCTGCATTAAGAAGGGATTGTTTAACCTCTCTTTAAATATCGTAACATATAGGAAGAAGTATATTAGTCCTACATCTACCCATGTGATACATTTGATATGGTAATCCTTCAAAGAATTATTGTGGTAATGAAAACAGGTACAGGTCTTATTTCTTAATCTACCTCATGAAGTGAACAAGGTACAATGGCTGAAGCAACATCTATGACATCTGAGTATAAAGCACCATCTGATGAACCCTTTTCCTACATTCCCATTTGTAAAAAGATTCAAAATATGAACATAATGTTTAGATGATATGGTTATTTATTAATTTCACATAAAAAGATACTACAAAATATGAACAAAACTATACCTCCTTCACAACAGCGGAATCACCATTGGGGATATCTGACTTCACTAAGTTTGATGGCTTATTTGCCTGCATTCATGTTGTGTAAACTTGAATATATTGTAATTGGTTGCAATGAATGGTTAATTTTTAGATTCCAATATTGTAAATACATAGTAGCATATGCTCACTACCTGCTTCTTAAAACCATTTGCTTGCTCTGCATCTGTATCACCAAAAATATTCCTTCTAGTCCAAACAATAAACAGATTAATAAATCACAAACAAGTTTTCATTTCAAAATCAGGAGCATTAAACATTAAAATTCATTCTACCTTTCTTTCAGCACTGCATTGGTTTTCTTTCCAGACATAGGCAATCGGGAGTTGGTTCCTTTTTTTGCTGCAGAGCGTGCAGCCACAACAGAATCTGCTTTATTTGCAGATAGAGGTACACTGGAGTTGGTTTGTTTCTTTGCAGTCATGGAGGGTTTTATACTTTTCAACCTTGAAGCCAAAGTTACTGCATGAATAGTGTCTGGGCAAAACAATGGGTTCTGCAATCAAGGAAAAATTGGTGAATTCAAAATTATCCAAACATAAATAGTATTTGATCACAAAATTGAGAAAAAAACGTATAATAGATAGCCTACCAAGCAAACGAGCATGGATATATGATTATTTCCACCAAGAGAATCTTGTAGCACTCGTGTGATTTTGCTTTCTCGATAAGGTACACGACTCTCGTTGGCATTGACAGCATGGATCACATTAAACAATGCATTCAAAGATTTGTTGATCAGTGTACCCTCAACAAGGTTGGTTCCATCAATGCTATTTCTCCTGACATTTTCATAGCCTAACAAATAGGATGTCAGACATAGAAAATTGGAATAACCCCATTATTGATAAGATTTTGTTCCAAACCTGCCAAATCAACGAAGTTCATCTTTCCAACACATTTAGGATTTCCTCCTTTATCACAAGCTAAAATATGTATCATCAGAGCTTTATGACTTCTTCGTGGCAATTCCGGTGCTATCTTTTGTTTTGGCTTGTTCGAAGTACTCCCCATGCAATATAGGTTCTGAAATTCCAACATCGATTTCACAGGTACCTGTCACAAATATTTTGATGTTAGAAACAACTGATGCTTTATACCAAACCTACAAACACAACATTAATTCCGATCACAATATCTATGATTGTAACATTTCCCTTGCCTTAGAAAGCCCTTTAAGTATTATCTTTCCTTGAGCATCTTCTAGTACTCGAACCTCAGGATTCTTGGAATCTAATATATCATAAACATGATCCTGGAAAACTTCATAGATTGATACTGCAACTGCATGTTTTCCTCCTTCTACCATTTTGAGAATTTCATCCATTACCATCATTCCTAAGCCTACATTTTCTTTGGAACCCTTCAAAAAAAAAAGATTAATGAGATAATAACTGCACCAGAATTGTGTAGATTGTTGCTAGGTTCATTGTCACTTAACCAAGTTAATTCAGCAATTTTAGTTAAAAATCAAGTATGTATTATAGTTTTCATCCAGCCAAAAAAACAATAAGAAACGTAAAACTAAGTTTACTTGGATTGTGTAGGTCTTTCCAGTGCCTCGAGCTCCAAATGCAATAAATGTTGAGCTTTCACCATCAAAAACCTTTGAGATGTGAGGCTTTATCTCCATGGAGAAAATTAGAGCTGTATCTTCATTTTGATGATAGCAATGGTCCACCTCATACTCATTTTTACGGCTGGAAGAACAAAAGAACAACGAACAAATTAAAATAAAAAGCTAGAACTATGAAAAAGTTTGAGCTCATTACAAACCAAATCTAAGAAAAATTTCAACATAAAAAATACCTGGACGTTTGATCATCAAAAGAAAGTGTAACTTTCTCAGAAGGCCCACTGCCACTGGATTTGCAAACCTGTATCACAGACTTCGATGCCAATTCATGATCCCTAAAACCTCGAATCCTTGCAATAACTCGAACTTTTCCGCTAAGATTTGAGCATGATTTCATTTGATTTCTTGAAGATGGAGTCATACAAGCTGTAAATTCTCACAAAAATGGCAATGTCAAGGGCAATTGAAAAATATTCTGATTTCGGAACACTACTAAACCCTAGTGATTGTAATTTCTCGTTTTGTTGTCTAAATTTTGCACAAAACTAAATTGATCCTGAATTCTAAAGCCCCATTTATAGTCTTACTAAGCAGATCGAATTAAAACTGCCTCACCAAATAACAAACATTTGCTAGGGTTAGAGATTAGAAGAGGACGATCCCCAGTGATCGTAATTTCTGATTTTGTTGTCAAAATTTCGCTCAAAACCATACAGAGTACATAAACTAATAACATAGAATCACCTTCAATTAAATATACATGGAAAAAAAATACAATCCTGAATTCTAAAGCATCAATTTTGACACTCCTGCTAAGCCAATCGAACTAGAACTGCCGTCACCAAGCAACGAACATATGCTAAGGTTTAAATCACGTGAAACGTTTAACATACAAGTGTGAGATGGGCAGGAGTCCATAGATCGCCGATATCGGAAAGATTTGCAGACGCCGGAAAAACTGTAAAACGATCGTACGCGAAATCAGGAGAACTATATCCGTAGCTTGTGTCCCAAAAGGGAAGCAATTCTGCCAAATCTTTAGGCGGGAAGGATTGAAAGGAGAGATTGCTAGAAAGAAGTGTGTGGAAGACGAATGCTTAGGAGGGAGAGGGAGTCAGTAACCGTTGGTGTTTTTGAATTGTGCTCGAGGCGCTCCTGTCTGAAGAATTCTTTTGGTGAGGAGACCATTATGATGCTTGTGGGCCCAAAATTAGTTGGGCTTCCATTCAGGTCCAAACCGTCCAATATAAGGGTCGGGCTTTAGGCTCGTGACTGGCAAAGGACCTGCATCGGGACTAGAGTTGTTCCTGGTTGGGTTGATCTAGTTAAACATATTTGAATAATCCAATTTAATATTTATGGTTTAGAAAAATCTTAACCCAACCTAACCTAAAAGCAAAATACAACCCAACCTAACTCGTACGAGTTAATCGAGTTGGTCCGGTTGATACTTGATATATTAAAATATTCTTCTAATCTTGAATATGTTATTTCTTTATTTATAATTTTTTTTTCATTATCAACTATTTGATACTAACTTATTCATATTTCTTACGTATATCACATTCAGTTAATTTTCTTAATTTATATATATATGTTCACAGTTACTGAATGACTTATATAGATATATGAATAAATTGAAAATATATGTTTTACATGATATTGTAATTGTCTAATATATATATATTAATAGAAATTCAACAATCATATTAAATTCAAGAAATAAAGGATATCAAATTCATTGGGTTAAATTGGGTTCCAATAATAATAACTCAATATCAACCGGTACCTATAATTTGATAATTTTATAACTCGATTAAGCATCATTTTATTCCGAGTTGGTTATTTCACGTTAGGTTGGATTGGATTGATCTGATTAATCAGGTTTTGAGCACCCCTATTCTGGGACTGTGCGCTGAAATCGTGTTAGGGTACACCGGAATTGCAATTGATTTCTTTCTTGGTTCTGGTTCAGAATTTCAAACAACCGAGTTCTTGATGTTGATAACGATGATGTTGTTGGAGACTTGGATTCAATTTCGAATATTAATCTTAGAACGAAAGCATTCCATCAAGTGATTGCATAAAAAAAATGTCAACTTCAAATCGGGGAACAGAATGACAGTTGCATCAGATGTCAATTTCGAATCGATGTTTCAAAGTCATCTTGTTCTCTCAATAAAACCTTCAGATTCGCCTTCAACAGCTTAATCATAGTAGTAATTGACAGCAACTATCGTCATTAGCTTCTCTCGTCAAGTTGCTTTTGCCATTTGTTTGGTATTTCACGGTAGTTCTAATGAAAACGGTTCGTGTTCTAATGCAAATTTTGTTTACCATCTGATCGTCTAGAGATTATCTGGAAGTGGTGTAAACACTGGTCCATGATTGGAGATGAAGATGAAATACAAAACCAAGTGGATCTCTACACCTTACTTGTGAGTTCAAATATCTTTAGACATGAGATGACATACACGAATTTAACATAGATTTGAATATTTCATGTTCGTAGTTATTACGGTGTTGGGGCTAGGGCTATTGTCGCACATGTATAACATCCACAATTCGGCACCGGAATTGTTTAAATGTGAACACATTTCTGCAATTCGTGCAAGATTTCATGTCTTCGGCAGATTTTCTGTTTCCCGATTACATTACTAAATCCTCTACTTTCATTTATTTATTTCCCTCCCTCGACATCTTACTTTTTGGCTTCCAATATCTGGGAAACTTTTGTTCTTGTCTGGCAGGAATATGAAGAAAAAGAAATCGCAAGCAGAAGGTAGAAAAAACTCAGCTAATGCATCCTGATTCTAATAAATGCATTCAGTGCCCTCCAGGTACCTGAAGCTGCATTGTCTTTTGCTGCAAGTTTTTGGTTTTGATCTTGCTTGAAGTCTTTAGCTAGCCTGGCTGCTTAAGTGTGATTGTCTTAGTCTAGTTAGTCATAGCTTCTTTTTATAGTAAACGACGAGTTCCAGGGTCTGATCATTCCTCTGGTATATTTTGTAAGTTTATCTTAGGGTTTAGGGTTTAGTTACTAGAAGAAACTTAAACTTTATCCTAAATGTGGTTTGTTTTTAAACAAGAATATTTGGCCTATTCCAGCTAAGTTAAACCTCAAAACTGCACATGGATTTTATGTTCCCATGTTCAACCAACTTCTGCAAGTTTTCCAAACTGACAGCTAAGTAGCAGATTCTTTAAGGATGAGGCAGGAAGCATGTGCAACTTCTTTGTTCCTTAGAACAGTCACCTGAGCTTCTCATATACATTGAACTGGTACCCATAGGACTTCTGGATGAATATATATAATGAAGCAATGATGGAACAGAACCAGTTAATAATAATTAGTAGTTGAATATTTTCTATATCATAAATGTTATGCTCTCTTTGTCTCTTGCATTGACTTGGGGAAAACTAAGGATTCATGTGCTGTATTCTTGCTTTCTCACTCAGGGTTATTGATGGTTTCCTAAGAAACTTTAGTTATTGCTCTAGACAGAACCATAGACCTGATGGAGAATAGTTTGCCTTTTTGTTAATTTGTTTGGCATAGTAAGAACAGGATACAAGATATTCTCCCACTTCTCACATTCCTCTGCTATTCTTGCAATGAGATGTGCATTGGGTGCTAAATGGTTGGTGCATCCATATAGTTGAACATGCAAAAGGATATATATGTCTATATATATAGAGGGAGGTTAAGGGGAAAACCCTAAAAAAAACAAAAAAACTGAGGAACACCCTGGTAACCGTTCATCTGGATTGTACACACATGTGCATACAAGTAATTGAAGTTTTTTTTTGGGTTTTTATGACGTGCATATTGGACAAATTACTTGTATGCACATGTTCATACCGTCCAGATGAATGGTTACCACTTGCCAGGGTGTTCCTCAAATTTTCATTTTTTTTTGTGGTTTTCCCCTAAACCCCTATATGTATATATATGTGTATATGTATGTATATGTCAACTGAGAAGGGGGTAAAGATTGGGGGGGAGGGGGGGGGGGTAATTCATCAATTCCTGATAAAAGAAATATCTTGGTCCAAGAGCCAACATTTAACAAAGTAACAGTTTGCCTCAAACCTCCACCTTTTTTGCCTTATGCTTCCCATCTGCTTAATTTTTTTTAGTACTTCCAACCCTATTCATCATTGACCTTCTTTTCTTGCAGAAAAATCCAAACAAAAAGGAATCTTTTCCAGAACTGCCAAACTGTAAGTCAAAGCTTTTACATTCTTTGCCTCTATAACGGTTGTACTTACAACTAGATGCTTGTCCCCCAAACTTGGCAGGCTAACTTATAAATAAATGAGATTATTTTATATGCACCATTTCTAAAGAAATTTTTTCACGAACCGTTCTTGAATGACAACAAATGTCCCATAGTTCCAATATTAACGTTACCCTTTCGATATACGTATAGGATAATAGGTTTTCAACAAGTTTCCGTAGTCTCTATAATTACGATATCCTTGTAATAGTAATTAATGAGGCATTCGTAATCTCTGAGCCGCTTGTGTTTAGCATTGCGTATAGAAAAGGGACTAAAAAGAGTTAGGTAAGTTGGAATATTAAATTTGATTATAGTTATAATTAATTTATGTATATTAACTGCAAATTGGTTTATAAGCTTCATGCAAACTAACTCCATTTCCATCAATCTTCACCATGCTTTCATCCAAAACTTCCATAGAACTTCCTGTATTTGATGTATCAAAACCCTTAAGCCCGTCTTGCCTTTCCTCCCTCTCTTTAGCCTGTAAAGAATGGGGTTTCTTTCATATAATCAACCATGGAATCTCAAAAGAGCTTTACAACAAACTACATTTCCTTTCAAATAAGCTTTTCAATCTGCCATATGAACAAAAACTCAAAGCTGGTCCCTCATCGAACATAAAAACCTACACTCCTCATTTCATCGCTTCTCCTTTCTTTGAATCGCTTCGTGTCTCTGGACCTCACTTTTTTGCATCGGCACAGAGCTCTGCTGAAGTGCTCTTTAATCAGTCGAATTCAGAATTCAGGTAACTTGATATTATTTTCATGGGAAATTTACAGAAATAGCCAATTTCCCAAAGGGGTTTCACTTTTTAGCCATTTTCAGACCTCATTTAACTTTGTAGCCAGTCCTTACACATATGCGTAAGGATCGGTTTTTTGGCAAAAAAAAAAAAAAGTGGAATCCTTACTTATAAAGTGGCCGGAAACCAATCTTTGCATATATGCTCAAGGACCGGCTACAAAGTGAAATGAGGTCTGAAAATGGCTAAAAAGTGAAAAGAGTTTGGGAGGTTGGCTATTTCTGTAAATTTCCCTATTTTCACTCTCTGATATGTACTTGAGAATGATTGAGAGAAATTCATGTTTCCCCTGTTGTTACTATTGTTATTTATGGAGTTTTCTTTTCCCTTTCTTTTTATTTTGACAGTGAGGTGTTGGGAGAATATGGGAGCAAAATGAGGACCCTATCGAATAAAATCACCGAGATACTGTTGATGTGTTTGGGGGAAGATTTTGGTAGGAAGTTTGAATCCGAGTTCTCCAACTCCGAAGGGTATTTGAGGATAAACAACTACTCGTCACCTGAAATCATCGGAAAAGACGTTGAAGGGCTCGGCATGCACACCGATATGAGCTGCATAACGATAGTTTATCAGGACAATATCGGCGGGCTTCAAGTGAGATCTAAAGAAGAGAAATGGATGGACATAAACCCGTGTGCCGAAACACTAGTTGTGAATATTGGAGATCTGATGCAAGCCTGGAGTAATGGGAAGTTAAGATCATCTGAGCATAGAGTCGTCTTAAAAGAACGTAAAAACCGGTTTTCGCTTGCTTTCTTCTGGTGTTTTGAGGATAATAAGGTAGTTTTTGCACCTGATGAAGTTGTGGGTGAGAACAATTTGAGAGCTTATAAACCCTTCTTGTGTGCTGATTATATGAAGTTCAGAGAAAATAGTGAAAAAGGCAAGTTTGAAAAAGTTGGCTTCACAGTTAAAGATTTTGCAGGTACTAAAAACGAATCATCCGAAAATTCACCCGTCGGTCGGCTTATTGAAACTCGAGAAGTTCCGGTTTGAATATCTGATAAATTACCAGTAATATGTTAATAAACAGGTAACAAAAGTTGTCTTATTTTAAACTGGTTTACTTTATTTTTTTGGTTTTTTTTTCCTTTTCCAATGTGCAGTTTTATTTATATTTTTGATGTACAAACTTTCCATTGGATTTGGTGCCAAAATAGATATTAAATTCTTAATGTGGTGAAGTTCAATTTAAGGACATGTGTAGATTCACCTTGTTGTACTCTAGAGAGTATTATAATAATGAACATGAATGTTGCTTCTTTCATCTTTTATCAGATGTTATGTTTCTATTTTTGGATGTTAAATTTTTATAATTAAATAAAATCAATAATCATGTCAAAATGTATTTTTATTGAACCTTTACCTTATATTTTGTATGTTTTCATTGTATTTTTTTTAAGTATATAATATTTATATACGACAAATGCAACAAATAAACTTATACATTCTCTTCATCTTTGATGAGGTTTGAATTCTTAACCTCCTAGGAGGCGGTGTTTTTGAAAATAACTATACTTAAAAGATTTTTTCTCAAATGGTAGCATCATTTGAGTATACTTAATGAAACTGTAGAAATTTTTCACAAAATCATTACATGTTTATTGGTTGTTTTCTGCCTTTACAGAGAAAGCTCTCGTGTTCGAGTCCTAAAAAAACTTCAAAGAACATAAGTTATAAAAAAACGCAAAATTAAAATCCAAATTCAACGAAACATCATAGAAATATAAGGACACTCAACAAAACATTATGGTGGCGTCCTTCAACAACGTAATTTTCTTCACCACGGGACCATAAAGTGGTAGCACAGGCCGCTTTATGCTCCTCTATATGTCCGTCCCTTGGACGAGATCACATCTACATACGTCTCACATCAAAGATACTATTTTCGAATAGATTTTACTGGGTCAGTTTTGTTGAGTTTGTAAGCTTGAATAGCATTTAGTAAACTTGTTATAAATACCTTGATACAACAAACAATAACCATTAATAATCGTTAGTAATCGTCGGTCAAACATACGACGACGAATCCGTTCCCGTTCTATTTCGTGTTAACTTTTGGATAGGATCTAGCCGAGTAGTTAGCCTTACAAGATGGTCCTTGCTGATTCACACAGGATTCCATGTATGGATATTATCATAAATTAGAAAAAAGTTGGTGAATTATCAAACAGACTCAATCATTTGATCCAATCATTTACTATAAATGTCAAAACATCCATCTATAATCAGGAATTCTGCTTATCGAATACTGCACGTTTTGGAGGTCAAACTAACATCTCAATTTGCTGGAATTCCTATTCAAACTCCAATTCCAACATCATCCAGATGTATTTTACATCTGAAATAAACAAACCCAGCATATCTCATCTCAGTTTCTCAAAATAAACAAACCCAGTATATCCCACCTACAGTTAAAAAAATATACAGATCTAACTTTCTCCCCAAAAGTTGTATTCCGAAAAGACCCCCAGTTTGCAAACCCGACATGAATGCATGGTCTTAAATTAAAGCAAAAAAATTGGTTTCACAGCTTAAAATCAGCATACATTACAACTCTTCCTACATGTTCCATAATAATCAGCAGAACCTACCATGAATATTGGATTTCGATCGCACTCCCCAACGGCAGCCCATCGTGGGCAGTTGTCATCCTCGTCCGTGCATAGACCGTCATCGCCACTGGTTTCTGATACGGAATTTGCTCCGGCAACAGATTTCACCACAAAAATCTTTGTGGCCCACCACATATCGCCCTCGACTATTGCACACCTGGCGTGTAAACTACTTGGGTCTAAACTAGCATTCGGATGGAGATTAAAGAACAAAATTGCATTGCCTTTGATAGGTTTCGTTGTCTCGCTGCTCTTTCTACAATCAGACCATATTTTCCTCTTCAATCCTAAGCTTCTCGACTGCAATAGATTCGAGCCATAGATGATAACAATGACAAGGAGGATAGCAACAGTTTGGAGGGTTAGATTGTAATTTGATTTGAAGGGCTTTATATAAGCACCACAACAGAATTGGCTTTATGGGTGCATTTGGTACACGGACAGAGAAACAGAACAGGGATCACCGTTCCACTTTCCACTTCTGGAAGGACTTTTATATGAATCAAAGTTGGACATCCAAAATCTTCGTTAACTACAAGGGCATTTCCATCATTTTTGCGTTTTTCCTTATTTTAAAACTAATTGCTTTTGTCTTTTTATCCATTTTCATAAAAACCCTCAAATTACGCAAAGGATCGTGTGAGAAGCAGGGTTAAGGTGAGAAGCATGAGAAAGGATCTGGACCCTTGATCACCTTTAATCTCAAACACACCCATTAACCGCGCTTGATACGGGGACTGATCCGGTGCATCTCGACGCATCTTATCTCGGTGCATCTCATCTATTCCACCCCCACCCCCACCCCCACCCCCATGGAACAAGGTGGAACAGACCCATGTTTTACCAATATAACCTCAAAATAAAACTTAATTCTCTTCTAACACATCAAATAAGACTCTCTTTACATTTTATTTATTGTGTTTTATGCTCATTAAACTTTCACTTTATTGACTTCAAAATATTATTTTTACACGGGTTCTATATTTTGATTAATTTATATAATTTATTATATATAAATAATAATAAAATAATATAGAAAAGGTTTAAAATAAAAATTGGAAACGACATAAACTTTTTATTTTGGTGTCATTTTAATCGTCTTGACAAAAACTTCCTAGTGATATATTTTGTTATAAAAACTAAATTATTTTATTATAACTTAATAAATTACATAATTAATCGAAATATATAAGCAATTCATTAGGGATAAATTAGTCATTTTATTTGTTCTGTCCTGTACTACCAAACGTTGAACAATTGTTCTGTTGTGTTATGTTCTCAACTGGTCTATCAAGTCTGGATACTAAATACACTCTATAGGACGTCAAATATGTTTAAATGTTCTAATCGACTACTTTATAGGACCAAAAAATTGTGCGCCATATGTAGCAATAAGCTTTTTCATGACACTTTTGAGAAGTGTGCTATAAACACATCTTTTTACAGGGGACTTATTTTTATAACACTTTTTTTTAAGTAAGGTCATATAAAAAAGACTAATAAGACGCTTTATTTCAAAAAACGTCATAAAAACTTGTTAGAACACCCAAAAGCGTCTTATCAACTTATCGTAACACTTTTACGTATGATGCACAATTGTTTCGTCCTATAAGCTTATGTCCTATAAAACAATCTATAAGAACATTAAACATATTTTGGCGTCCCATAAAGCCAATTTTGTTGTAGTGAAGCTTATACGAGTTCACATGAGCCTACAAGAGCTGGACCAAGGGTTGAGCCTTTGGCAAGCCAAGCTTGAGCTTAAATTTTCTGAGCTTAGCTACCGATAAGTTGAGCCCAACCCTACGGCTTCCATTGTGAACCTGAGCTTGGCTCACAAACTCAGCTTTGGTTCAGCCCAAATACAAGTCTAAAAGAGTAGGAAGTTTTTGTCTAACCTCTGCTCCCGGAAAAAGGATTTGACCACCTTGGGTGACATTTGAAAGATACATCACAATTGTTGCAATTACGCTTTCGCCATTTAGCCGCATGAATGTGTTGCCTAAATAGTTGTGGTTCTCTTTAATCTTTTCGGGACCATAATGAAGAACTTGAAACGGCATGCCATTTCCTGTAGATAACTAATCTTATTACAAAACTAAACCAAACCATGATTACACGCGGGGAAAAGGGAACGATGATAAAGGGAGAAAACCTTTGGGAAGAAAAGTCCAAGCCGAAATCCTTTCCTCAATCCTCGCAGTTATTTCATCCTAAAAAGACGTCAAATGTAATGATTCTCCATGATCATGCACGGAAATTCAAAATTGTTCGTGGTCTTAGACAATTCTTATATATTATTATTATTATTTTTTAACGCATGATCTTCTGTCAGAAGGGGATGTATTTAAAATATTTGTCAGAAGGTTATTCTCCTAAATAATCCCCCTAGTATCGTTACTTGGGTCTAAAGAAAAGGTTTGCAAACAACGATTCTTGATGGTGACGAAATATGCTACACACTATTTACATATCTTGAACGTTCGTAGAGGCTAAAAAAGTTAAAACTAAAGATGAACTTACTCCAATTGCTAAAGAGAGATCAAAATTTGTAGTCCGTTCTACAGCCTTGGTTGAATTGTTGCCACTCGGTTTCTCTTGGTTATCATTTCCCTATAACCAAAAAATACACTTTGCTACAGGAAATGGTAAAAAATTCTTTAATGAGCATGAAATACATCACTATGTTTAGCAAATAATCTGATAAGCTAGTTGTAGGCATATAAGCTAAGTGACTAGCTGTTAGTAGAAAAACTAGTCAAGTTTGGTAAAAACTAGTTGATAAGCTAGATGACAATGTAAAATGTACCAAAAAGACATGTTGAATTGGAAAATTTTAAAGGGGCGTAAACGGAAAAAGTGGAAAAAATCTCTCTTGGTGCTTATTGAAACACTACTTGAAGAACATTTTAAAAAAGTTGGCTTATAAGCTAGCTTATGGGCCATGGCTAACCAAACGGAACTTTTTCAATAAGCTAACTTATGGTTGTCAAACATGATCTTAGTTTTCCGGAAAGTAGGAATCGACAGCAACAATGGCAATAACTTAATTTACTTGATAATTCAGGGGTCAAACAAATATGTATCCTAAGCAAGGATGTGGGTTTTACCAAAGATATGAGGTGGTCACACTCTTCATCAGATAGGAAGCCTTTGTACAAGAATACCCTATCCAAAGAAAGATAGTGTCAATAGCATCTCCACAAAGATGATCTCTGCATATAATATGAAACAAATGGAACTTATTCTGTAAATATCTATTATTTCCTTAATTCACCCAATAATCCTTATAAAACTAGCTCCTTGATAAGGACATTGTAGAAGATTACGGTTATTTAGAAGAATAACCTTCTAACAGATTATTTTTTTAATGCACGGCCTTCTGACATATTTTAGAATGCCTTGCCTGACAAAAGAATGTCTCTTCCTAAAGCAAGGATGTCCCAAAATCTGATAGAAGATATGCATTTAAAAGAAAAAATGTGTCCAAAGGTTATTCTTCTGGGCTGTTTGGTAGGTTAATATGCCTGTATAGATTGAGAAGATTTTTGTTTGGGAGAGTTTTTTATATATGGAAGGAGCGTGTTCTTTAGTTAGGAAGTACAGGTTTGGAAGAAACTTGACTTTCTGCATAAAGCTCCCCCCTAGAATCTTACCGAATAAGCCATTTTCTATATCATGAAGCCACTACCAAACAGTCATATAAAGCTAACCAAATAAGTTGTGTCCCATTAAGCTCATTAAGCAGCTAACACGCAGGCCTTAAGTAACCCTTTGTAGATTATCTGAGTACCTGACCTTGGTTGCCAAGAGAGTTCAGTAACTCGTGATGGATCAATTGTGTTAGGAGGAAGTGAACGGCCTAATTGTATAACATTCTCTTGGTTCGCCTCTTGGGTTCGCAGTTCCTTCCGGCTAAAACAACAAGTAGTTGTGAAAGAGATATTAGCCATCAAAAAGCGGTTGACAAGTAAATTCTTTTCACAAAACCAGAACAGATCAACAGATACAAGTATACAACATAGCTCACATTTATTCAATTGGATCATCTTTTTTTCTTTTTGTTAACCATGGGTGTCTAAGCGAGCTTGTGCGCACCTCGACAATACCCAGGGCCATGGAGAACAGCCAAGAAAATCCCTAGTGGTCTTGCAGGACTAGGACTGGTGACCTCTAAGAAGAATCCCCAGAGACCCAAGCCTTATTGCCAGTTGAGCTAGCCCTGCAACATTCATTCCCAATCTTTGTTGCCATCCATTGTAGATATGAACACTTGTTTACAAGACATAAAAAGATTGGGGTACCATGGTAGGCGATGCATTCATAAATACATCAAAGTACTATAACTCTTTAACACTAAGAAACTAATATGTATATATAGAGGAAGGATCTAGAAGTTAAACATTTTGCAAGAAGGCGAGAAGTTTCAATGTCATATATGCTTACACTTCTTTGAGTGTGTTTAATCATATATGATCAAGTGTCTATGTGTTGTCAATGCAACATGTGTTTAATATATATGATTAAACTTGTATATCATACATGTAATCATATATGATACTAAAACGAAGTCAAAATGTTTAGCTTCTCGTTTGAACCTGCCCCTATATATATATATATATATATATATATATATATGATCAGAACATAGCTTCAAAATGCAACTAGGGTTTGGACAGAAGTCTGTACATGGCATATGCTCACAACTATATCCGTCAACAAAATTATGAAAATGCATGGCAGGGAATAAGAGTTTCGACGATTAATTAAGAAATCCACAAACTATGTCAAAACTGAAAGCAATTTAGCCGATTACATACAGAAATGGGTAATGAAATTCAAGCATATAAATGTCTTGAAACCCTAAAATAGCTAGAATTACAAGAACGCACAATTTGAATTACAAAATTCGAGGTAATCAGTAACGAATACGCGAAAAAAAAAAGATGAAATGGATCACTTACCTTTCTGTAAAAGAGTTCGAGAAACAACACGTAAACACCAAGATAAGGAGAAGTGAGAGATCTGTCGCCATGAAAGACGTTTGTATTAAGAAGCAGTCAAAGGATGAAGTGAAATTTGCTGGGATCAAGTCAAGAATGAAAGATTTGGGGTAGCATTTATGTCAGCATTAATTTCACTTCATCTTTTTTAGAACAATAAATCTTTATATCAAATTACCCTCTCGATCCCGTCATCGTCAGACGACTTATTCGTTCAGCCGTACTTCATCTTTTTTTAGAACAGGAACATAAGATAAATTACTAAATTACCCTTCGATTCTATCCATCCTAAAAGATTGTTTACTTACGATTTAATAAAGTTAACGATCTAGACAGCTTATTCGTTCAACAATACTTCATCTCTTTTAGAATGGAAGATAAAATAAGAAAAATAAATTACCAAGGGGCCGTTTACCAAACATTTATCCGGTAAGCATTTATCGGGAAAATTCAATGTTATTATTTACTTACTGCATAAGATTTTAATCAACAAGAACGGCTTTTTATGCAACAATTTATCCGATAAGAGCTGACTGTGGTAAGAGTCATTGTCTTCACTTATCGGGTAAAACTCTCGGTCTTTGTCTCGTTCTTACCGGGTAAGATTTTTGGTCCTTATCATATTCATCTGGTAAGATAATATAACTTGGTAAACGCTTACCCAAGTAAGTATTTGGTAAACGGCCCCTAAATTATTTTTTGATTCTATTCTATCTAAGCGATCTTTACTTGCACCTTGATCATACATTAGTATTTCTTTATGCCTTAATTATTAAGCCATGGAGCCAAAATGACTATATGGAATCAGTCAAGACCCCTCACTTGTCTCCATCAAGCCATCTCAGACAAATTAATAACAGAATTGTCCCAGAAATAATCCTCTCTTTATATCCCTCAAATCCATACTAAAACAACCTAAAGTTCTTTACTTGCACCTTAATAAAGTAATAACTTGTGTTAACAAAGATATCTAAAAAAGTTATTTAATAAAATCGTGTAAGATATACACCAAAATCACACATGCCTCATTATCGCCGTAAACTAAACCAAACAAACTCAATAAATCCAGTAAAAACTGAAAGGATAAGACGTATACAGATCTTTCCTTTTGTATCTATTACATAATTATACAACAGAATGTGATTTTTTCAGCACCATGTGGCCGGACTCATCCTGATCGAATAAACGCTCAATTAATATATCCCAACTTTCTCCGGGCCTCTGTTTTGTGCCCGAATACTCCCCTTCCTCAACCTCCTGAAAGGTGCCATATTCCGAAGGTAAAATGGCGTGGGGCACCGCCAATTTAACCGCCCTCTGTAATGCTGCCTTGTATTCCTCACTGTGTTCTCTTGCCAAAGTTTGTTGTCTCTCCATCTTTTGTTTTGCAGGTATCTCCATAATCGGATCTTTCTCTAGCATCATCTTTATTTGCAAAAACTTAGTCACATTTTGCATATAGAAAGCAGGGAAGATTCATATGTGAATCATTGCAAAAATCAATTTGAAGGTATATGTAAGCTCATATGAATAATTTGTAAAGTTGGTTCACATATGCATCTTCAAATAGATTTTTTCAATGATTCACATATGAATCTTTACCTTCTCACGATACTTATCCTTCTTATTTGAACCGTCCCCTAGGTTCGATTAAGTGCGATAAAATAAAGAAAACTCACATTCAAAGCCCTTTTGGCTTCCCTCTCTATCCAAATGATGGCATGATCAGAAGTAGCATTGCAAGAAAGAACAATGTGCTCAAATCTTCCATCAACTGGCACTGCAGTTTTTACAACTGGTGGAAACCTACCACATCTGCAACCATAATATGCAAAAAAAAAAAAAAGTTCAGTATCACACACATAACAAAAAGATACAATTTTGAGGTCCAAATGACTTATTTGGCAAACTAGCGGATAAGTTAATCGTTGGCTGAAAGAAGCTCTTGGTTCATAAGCTAGTCATGTTTGGTAAAACAAGCGTAATAAGGTAGATGACAATGTAAAATGACCTAAAAGAGCGTGTTCAAAAATTAATTGGAAAAATGGTATAATTGGGAAAAAAGTTGAAAAAGGCCCTGGAGCTTCTTGAAAAAGCTAGCTTGTGACGAACCAAACAGGGTATTTTTAATAAGCTCAAAACAAAAGCTAGCTTATGGTTGTATTAGAGAGAGCTTATGATTTTATTGACGACTTCCAAGAAACATATATAGCACATTAAACATTATAACAAGTAACTAGAAATAAGAAAAATGTCCGTGCTAAGTTTGTGACGGAATCCATTTCAGATGTGAATACGGAGCGAATATCTTTGACCTCAAAAGTCAAAATGTAGATAAAGGTGGTCATGGATTCAATTTAGGCTGTACCTGAAAGGCTTTCTCTCAACAATGTGATAGAGGCGACCAGGTGCATAAAGCCTTCTTGGATCTTTGATTTTACTCTCCTCCGATGTGCATGTGTCTCTTATGCATCTCAAGCATAACAAGCATGGCAAACTATACAAATAAGAATCACCATCAGCATTATTATCATTCAACAGTCACACATAAAACTAATAGTAAGGTGTTTCCAAGATACCATCATATGTGAAAATTGATCTTGCAGGTCAAACTCAAACTTATACCTTCGATGAACAAGATGATAAGTGTTTTATGTAAATTTACAATCACTGTTCTATTATATTACATGTTATCAAGATTTCCTCAATTTAACCTAGAATTCATGAGTTTGTAGGAAAAAGAGATTCCATACTTTGACATCAAAAGTCGAAGTGCACGCTTTTCTTTATGAACTCTTGCTCTTGAGATATTTTTAAATACTATTATCAAGGTTTTTGACATGTAACCGAAGAAAATTTTCATTTTTTCCAACTGTTTTTTTCTTCTTTAAAGAGGCAGTGTTTTTCTTTATGGGTTGTAATTTATCAGCATTCATTCTTATCTGTTTTTTGTTCTTCAAAAAGGCCATGTGTTTTTCTTTATGGTTCGTACTATATCAGAATTCATGAGTTTCATAAAAATATTCTAGCAAAACACGCAAATAGTTGAATCACATAATGTTGTGTTCTTATTTTCTTCCCTATAATCAAGATTCTGTGTTTAGTTGATATTACAGCATTACTGATCCTAACAAGAAACTCTTACCAGAAAACAGATTTAAAGATGTCTTCCAATGGCGTGGCCGTCCGGGGCAAGAAATCATCCTGCTTCAAGAACACAGCAGGAGTATATATAATGTGTAAATAAAAAAAACCATCAAATTTGTTCAAAATGTTTCACTGATTACAGAAAGAAATTAACAAATCAAGAATTGAAAAAACTTGCCTGGAGCACAACAGAACTGATAATGTCTGCATATCTGACTGCCAAATTCAGTGACATGCATCTGGCAGGTGCGATGGAATAGCATCGGACCCTCTTCCGGTCAATATTCCCCAACTTATCTCGGTTTTTCACCACCACCATCGCCAACAAGGCCGCCACACCTGACCCAAGCGAGTGACCCGTAAGAGTCAAAGTATAACTCGGGTACCTCTCTAACAAGTCCTTCAAAGTGTTACTTTCTGCATCTAGTACAACTCCAGCTGCTTTTAACAACCCATTATGAACATACCCACCATCAAATTTCCTTCTTCCCAACTTATTATCCAGCAAAACTGCATAATCTTTGTGGCTTGCCAAATTAAGTCCTCTAATGGCAAGAACTATATCAGCATGAGCATGATCTAGATATAACAAATATGGTGGCGCCCGCCCATGAGTGTCCTCATACGTTCTCTTCAAAATCAAGCAATTTGGATCAATTCCATATCCACCTAGAGGCTCCCAAAGAGGGCATTTAAGATCATCCTCATACACTGCCAGTATATACCGGCAAAGCCTAGGGACGGGTTCGAATTCTTCGGCTGTGGCAACACCCCAAGTCTCACTGTCATGACCTGCAGTATGAAGGCATCGCTTCCAAGCCCATCGAGCACAAGCTATACAGTAAACACATTCAAGAAGAGGGAGGCCACATATGATTGACATTGTGGCTTCGATGGGACAACAATGTCAGCAAGAAAGATGGATACAATCTCAAAGATGAGTTATTAGAAGGCAAGACATTTCATCAAACAGTTGGAAGGTCAGAAGTCAACTGGGCACTCCAAATTTTTCAAGATTTTACTGTATGCAGCTACAAGTTCGAAGTTAATATGATTGATTTCATATGATCAAAGCCTGTTCTATCAAGTAAAATTTAATGGGTAATGATTAATGAATAGCGACATAAGATTATACCAATTTCTGCTCCAGAAACAATAATCAAGATCAAAATTGAGATGTCCCACTTTAGGGCTTATGGAATGAAAACAACCCCAAAAAAAAAAATCAGAAAGAAAACCAAGATACCAGATTCAGATTCAAATTCAAATTCAAATTATGGTATGGAATACAAGAATCTAAAAAATGTAGAATGAACTTGAGAATTACCTTTGAAATCGATTCAGCTGCTTCCCCAAGCATTGAAGTTTCAAGACTGTATATGAATTATTGATGCGGTGAAGAAAAGTTTAGTTCGCAAGATTCAAGCACAATCCACACACAGCATCTGTTGAAATATGAAGGATTTTTGGTGCAGAAATTGGATATTGCTCCTTCTGCAAAGCTACGTGACATGCACGTGTTTCGGCCATCATTTTCGTGAATTTTATTGGGCGGGCGTTATGGTAAATAATCGAATGGACTTGTCTACTGCTTATCGAATTTAATTTGATAAGCGAAGCATATGGATTTGCACATCTTGACACTTATCTCAGATTTTGATGATTTAACCAAAAAAGGAAAAAAGAATTGCCAAAACGACTACGTTAAAATGTACATTAAAATAAATAAATATATTGAATATTTTAATAATATAATTAATGTTATAATTATTAAAATGGAATAACTTTTAAGGTTAGATGTGAATTTATTTTTAAAGATTTTGACTTTTGATATTTTATTTTAAAAAAATCATTACATAATTGTTGGAGAAGCTTTTACATCTTCAACAATTATTCAAAAATTATTCAAAAATTAATATCTAAATAAATATAACATTCCTATTGGAGCAAAAAGATCTTTAGAACCACCAAATCCATATTTTAACATAACTGTTAGGACTTGGAATCATGTGAGATAAGGTCTTGAAACAACATTTTTACACTTGAAATTTCACAACAAAACATTGTGGAGATAATCTTCACAGTGTTTTTACTGTGAAGGTTCGGATTTTTTTTTTACTTTCACAACATTTTGTTGTATAATTTCAAGTGTAAAAGTATCGTCTCACGTGTCTCACGAAAACAGGTTGGTCTCACGTAAACTTAACCCTAACTGTTGAAGATGCTTATAGATAATACATAAAAAGAAGCAATAGAAAAGGGGGAAAAACAAGTTATGAACAATATCTACACTTGTAGGGCCGACATTTGAACCGTATATTAAGATATATAATTTTAATTAAATTCATGATCTTCTCATAATATGAAATCAGCCTTTTATTTAAATTTAAGATATTTTCAAGAGGTCTTCGATTTAATGAAAATCTCATTTAAGGTTATATAGGCAAATTCATTAAGAGGCTAGGGAGGTTTGTCACCCCAATTTATCATTTTAACATGGTAAAAATTCTCTTTTGAGTCTTAAAAATGTATCTGCTAACATCGTTATAATCGATATGCGTCACTGTAAGTTATATATATATATCATCTAAACTATATTTATTATAATTAAATTTTGTTATATTTTATATTTATATTAATTATTTTATGTCCAGCATGATTTAATTTATGGGTGGGTCAACCATTGAATTGGTTTGGATCGAGAATAATATCTGGTTTTAATTAGGTCTCATAAACGTAGAATTAGATATTGACCGATGTTAACCTTACGTGCATCTCCAACGAAGATTCTGAAATGAACCAATTTTTTGTATTTTTTCTTGTCACATTTCCAAATTTTCAACGGTGATTCTTGTAAGAACCTCCACTTTTTGTTTATAAGAATCTTCCACCGGAGATGCTCTAATGGATAATCCGGTCCCGCCCATTTTTTTGGAATGGTCGTTCAAACTCACCAGCGGGACGTCTTGTTCGTGAACAGCTCTATTGCAAGTTCCTTGCAAATAGCTACTTCGACTTTTGTCATAGGTTTGTAAGGCTGAAATAGCATTGTGTAACGTAACCTATAAAAAAATCGAGTTCATTTTCAAGAACAGAAAGGAATGGAATAAAGTAACGGTGATGGAACTCGTCAAAATATTAACCCAGAAATTTTGGACTCCTCCCTTCACCTTAAAATGGATGAAAAAACAGGATTTTCAGTTTCAATATCATCAAATGCAAGTTCATTAACATTCTCGATATACATTTTTTGGAAGGGTGTCCCAGGCTATGCCTGGACTAATCCCGGCAAATTGCGACTGCAAGAACGCAACCCTAATAAACTCAGTGGCCACAATTGGTGTGATCGCCTGGAATTGAACCCACGACGGATGAGATATTCCACCTCATCCCCCAGGACCTCAACCACTACGCCACAACCCTTGTGGTTATTCTCAATATACATTACAGGATATACTTTGATATAGTGTTCTTACGCAAAGATTCAGAAATAGTCACCAAAGAGCCTTTGGCCCAGCAGTATTCGAGTTACTGGCAGAGTCCAGCTTTCTTAAGAAATCAAGGGTTCAAACTGCACCAAAGATGAATGGGGTGAATGAGTTCATTCACTGTATATAAATATTATATACCTCAAAAAGAAGATTTAGAAACAGCTCTTGATTAGTTCATCACCAACCCTTTTGCCCAGATATACAGAAAATCAATTTTCTACAACAAATTTTGAGCTGAAAAACCACAGTGCAAGATATGTACCTCGAAAGAGCACTGCTGGCAGAAACAAACCTGCGAGTTTAAAGACGTATCACAGGGTTGAAATACCCCTCAACAACCTGAGAGCATCATTCTTGCATGTTTTGGTACTAAGCTTAAATACATTTACGTATTGATGTCTTCAGTTAATAACCTACTAACAAGTCCATTTTGCATGATTTAGCATTACTGTATGAAATAAGAAACATAACGCAGAATGATAATCAAATATAACTTGCAAATTTACCCATATTTATGGCATCAGCTACAAGCTCAAGTAGACAAAAATAACTAAGTAATAGGTGAGGTTGAACTATTGAATGATACAAATGCTAAGTTGAACAGAAATGACCAAGCAAACAATAGGCTGAACTATTGAAGAAGCAGAACATGTAATCACCACTTTTTGAATTCAATCGAGCATCACTAGTGTTTTTAATATAACTTTGTTAATCGAAGTGTGAAAATCTATGAGAAACCCCATTAGATTACTCTCCAAAAGAGACCGTGAGTACAGAATGGAGGTTACAATATATATTAAGAAGAAATGGTCCAAATCTAACCAGTGTCAGACTCCAACACACACCCCAAAAAAATGGAGGCTAGACAGGTATGGATTGTTCCATAGTGTCGAGAGGTGGCTAAACAGGCACAGATTGTCGAGTACTTGACATGGTTGACCTAGGCTCTGATACCATGTGAGAGTACGTAGAACCCCATTAGATTACTCTCCAAAAAAGCCATTGAGGAGAGAAGAAAGGTTCCAACATATATAGTCGATGTAGGACTCCAACATAAATAAACATGCATGCTCAATCATTTAACATTATATCACATGCAGAATTTTAAGAAATTCTTCATATGACAACAACTAACCCTAGTAGAGCCAATTTACTTGGGAGAGGATAGTATAAGTACCTTTAATATTTGCATAGCAAGCTAATGCCCTGCCCCTGAACTTGATCTACAACTGTGGGAACTAACACCTTCCTGAAGAGGGACCGTATGCTAGCAGAAGAGGAAAACTTCACAAGATCCATAGTCTCAAAAATTGATCAACTCTTGATGTTATTTAGATCCATAGTCTCAAAAATTGATCAATTGATGTTATTTTTTATAATAATAATAATAATCATATCGTTCATTTGAAAATGTAAATCAGCAGTCAGTGCTCAAAATTAGTATAGACGGATTGTTGCCATGGAGAGACTGCATTTAAAGATCTTATCTATAGTGTCCGAAAACTATTTGCACAAGAATCTGATTCTGTTCTTTGTTACAAAATAACATGACTCCTTAATTCAACATTAAAGTGAATAAAACTGCGAATATAGGTATTCCCGAATCTTGTAATACTCTTCGCATAGTGGACCTTCTATAACTATCTGTTGGATAGCTGCAGCACCACCCTACACAAGAAATTTGAAGATTAATAAAGCAATCAATTCATGGTATTAATCTAAAGATCAGACTTCTATTTTGGAGTTAAATTGCTTCAAACCTTCTGACTAGCATCACCAACTTTCCTCAGTGTAACATACTCCCCACAACGCAGTGCCCCACCTGCAAATTCTACCTGAAATGGCAATTGATATAAAAGCATAACATGAGTCACCAGCACGGCCATATACTGTAACTTTAAAAGATATCAGGATATTCATTTGATTGTACTGCAAGCAAAAAGAAAAAAGTACCTGGATACCCTTTCCGGCAAGAAACTGCTTAAAATCTGCCATTTTTAGATCTCCGACAAGTACCGACTTGTGAGGAGGAGCCGTTGTTGAGAGGGGCAGTGATGACAACATGCCACTCTCTGTCTTTTCTACCTCAGAATCAATCCACGCTATTTCGTAATCTCCAAGCTGTGGTAAAAAGGCAACAAGAGATAGAGAGAGTTAATTTCTGACCTACCAATAAAGTTACAGTCCCAAAAAGAGTCCAAATTCTGACTTTCTGAAAGTCGAATTACTTACGTTTTCACATCAAACTTGACCAAAAATACCCAAAAAGATCGATGACTGAACTTAACCATATGCAAAGTATTAAAAGAGAAACATAATTCAAAAAAGCGGTATAAATAACTCTTCACTATATAGAGAGCAAAAACTGAAAGAATCCATGCGGAGTACTAGTTTGAATCTCTAGAATGAAAGGGGGACTCTTTAATCTGAACGAATTATGTAATAATTGAAAACGATAAACAAGGTAAAACACAGTTGATGATCAACATAATTTGTAACCAAATAGTTCATCATGTGGTGTCAAAGCATAGTGAAGAAACAGATAAAGACAAACCTTCTTAAACAGAACATTGCTCATCAGTTTCTCAGAGAGTTGCACCTATTTTCACATGGAAAAAAAGCTAATCAAATGCGGATTTTAAGAAAAATTGTACAAAATAGCTTCCAGTTAAACTTCGTATGTACCTTATAAGCACACAAATCTGATGTGACATCAATTGTTTCTTCAATTTGAGGAGCATATACGTGGGGACAAACATGTTTCAGACAGTGTTGCTTCAAATGTTCAGTGGCCTCAGCTGATCCGTGCACCAAGACCTAATAAAGAAGAATTCAATATTAAATGTCATCAGTTTTTGAAGAGATGGAAATAGATGCGTGGAAACCTAAACTGTTCAAACTAGAAAGTAACATATGCAACAGATAGGAGAAATTTATTTCATTAATTTGTTGAGAAGGATTTACAAGAAATGAAATGTTAAGTAAATAAGGGCATAAAAGAACATTCATACAAGTTTCAAGGGAGCAACATGAGCAAGAATTGATTTGATTGAGCGACCATCAGAACGCCCTTCAAAATCCATGTAAACCAAGGAACATTTGACTTGAACCTGAAACAGATAGAACGCCAGTATAGCAATGGTAAATAAACTTGAAGTCTTTATGGTAAATTCCTATAGTTTGGGCAAATGAATATTATCAGTAACAACATCATCAACCATCGACCTAAAAACTGATGTGAGCATGTGTTTGGTTCTATAAAATACTAACTGTGTTTATAAACAGAAAACGCAAACCAACCTTTCTCCATTACAGCATTGTTTTCTTTCACTCATAACATGACACAGGTACCGTATACAAACATCCTAAATGAACGTTCCCACAACCCATAAATATCTCAACAACTTCTATTTTGGCACATCTCATATTCAGCACATTGGCAAATCTTCAAGCTAAAATTATTTTTATCATTAAAAATTATTGATCTATAGATTTTTATCCACAGGATTCTCCTACTATTTCATTATTGAAGGCTAGTTTAGAAATGTGACTAACAGTGAAAAACAACTGTCAAAAAATTGCTGAAACTTTCACATGCTGGAGGGAGTATGCATAACAATTAAGAAAGTCAGATAGACATCAATTTGTATACTTGGAAGGTGGGCATCATATAGCTCCTGAAAAAAATCAGAAAAACAAACGAACTTACAGTAAGTTCAGAAGACACGACTTTTGATGGGGTTGTATCAAGCATCAAACTAGCAGTGCCTTCGTCGAGTTTTCCATCAAGATCTCCACCCACCTGAAAAACGATCTGCAGAGTGTTATACTTGACACTCACCAACTACATGGAAAAATGGCATGGAATTAAGTTAAACTTACAGGCATGGATCCCATGTCCATATCTTCATCCTTGATTACATAATCATCGGGATTAATGACTTCTCCAAAATCATCCCATTCGGAGGAGTTATCACAGAAGGGAAACATTGGAGCAACGCTAGCTGAGGGTGGAACAAATCCATCAATAAGTACATCACGATATGCTTCCCCACGCACCCCAACAGCTGCAACGAACAGTTGGCATTTAGATTTACTATTCAGTTAGCAGGAATTATAAGTACAATAACAATCTGAAACTAACTTGAAAACATGCATATTGCTTGACCTAGTTCTTATGCCTGTTGCTTGATCTTGGCAATTTAAAAATGTTACTTCCATCATCTTGGCCATCTTTTTCTCAACTAACGATATGTTTAAGTTAGCTTTACATTGGTCTGATTTAAATGTCTACATTTACGAGCACATGTGCACACATATGATACATACGTTCGCTTAGAAATTTTGGTTCTAGCCTTGCAGTATACACCAAAGATCAGTCAATTACTTTCGTCAAAGAAATATTGGTATCAAATTCTTCAAAGCTGCAGTTTCCAGGGATGAAAATTAAATTAAAACATCTTTGAAGTATACATGAACATATAATTATGGTGAAAGATTGAATTACATTGCAGACAAGTTTTCTCACATAGTTCATATGTGATCCTTTTGCAATAATTTTTTCTTCAAATGGAAGCCAGGAAATGGTAACTGTAATTCAGCAGCAGAGCAAAGAAAGAAAGATAAAATACCATCTACTTGAGCATGGCCATCAATGATCATGGGGTCAGCCTTGGCAATATCAGTTCCAATCACAGCTTTTGTTTCCTCTTCCTTCACGAGAGTGGCTTTTAAAGCCTCCTCCTTTTTAATCTGTTCTTGCTCTTCTTCATATGCAGCTAACTCCTCCCCAACCAATGGAACTCTCTTGGAAAGGGTGACTTTAACAGCTTTAGGAGGTGGATCCGACTGAAGCATTCGTGCACGAGTACCAAACTACATATATAACTGTGAGTAGTGAGAATCAACATTATCTGCAAGATAAAATGACTAAACTACTATTTCACTTTAACACAATATTACCCAGGAAAAGAAAATCATGCAAGGTTCGAACTTCTAGATGGTTTAACATAACCATAAAAATACCTTACTGACAGCCAGTGTTAGAAAAAAAAAATGTTTACTATGGCTGAAACATATTTCATGCAATATTGTTATCCGTAACAAGACTATAATGAGAGTATGCCATGAACCACTATGAAAAAACAATAGAGCAGTTTAGCACATACCTGGCCCCGTTCAGTAAAAAGAACAAGATTTCTTGAATCAGCAGCCCATTCTACGAATATATCATGTGAAAATCCCACTTCTAAACTGGCCATAGAAGCTAGAACAATCTAATTAAGAAGTGCAGTCAATGCCATGATAAACATAATAATTTGAAAAAGAGTTCGCTAAGCTTTTTATCCTCCAAAGTAGAAGTTTCACTTACCTTTGGACCCTCTGGGGCATTTTCTAGTTCATTCTTGTTGATCAAAAGAGTAACATGCCTGCAATTACATATATAAATTCCTAGTGAGTAGCATATGCAGAAGGATATATTTGATTAGATGCTACATGTTAAAAGATCAACAGCAAACTCATACTAACAGACACTAATCAAGAGATTACATCAGATGAAAAGCTCTTACTTCAGAAGGAAGGCATTATCACGAGTATGTTCGAAGGACTTTGCTATTGAATCACTCATCCACTCAAGGAAACTCTTGACATAATCAACCGTGCTTGATGATATGTATGTGAGAAAGAAGATAGGATAGGTCAAATGATTTTGTTCCCAGTACTGCAATAATTAAATAAAAAGGAAAACTATTATGTTATTTATTTAAGACATAGAAGGTAGATTGACCTGTAATACCGAACCTCTAGGTATAACCTTTCCTCAATAATAGAATCGAGGATTGAAAGTTTGAAACATGGCTACAAATAAGTCCCAGCAACCTGTTCGAAAATTGAAACCGGCCAAAATAAGCATCGTAGCTTTTATGCATACTAACCTGTTCGAGTATTAAAAGCAGCTCCAGTACACGACCAGCAGTATCCACAGGCAGCAATACATTTCCATTGCCTCTTAGAGTGTTTAGTATAGCATCTAAAATTTTCAATCAGATAACAAGTTCATACAGAAATATGATATTAGAAACGGCTTGCATAGTTCATATACAGATGGTATTTTAGGTACTCATATGCTTTCTAGAAAAGTGATACATATACGAGATTTCGACAGCTTTAGTGAATAATTACCTACAAATTCTTGATCCCTTTGACGTCTAGAAGGCTGATTGCTCAAAGCATTATATGCATCTGTTATAAGAACGGCAGGCCGAACAAAAGATTCTAACACTGTTCCATTTAAATGCCTGAAAAATCATTGCAAGTAAGAGCATTCCACATTGAAAAATACTACATGAAATACAGATGCAGTTGGTATGCAGAAGACCTCTCTTTGCGATGATTGAAGTCAACAGCATATATAACGTCTTCTCCATCTTTAGTTATTTTCCAGACAGTACCTCCCAAGAGATGACCAGCAACATGAGGAGCAATCACAATCCCTTCTCCTTTTCCTGGCATTAGTTCATTGAATAAACTAGTAAGGAACAAAAAGCTATCAATTATCAAGCTAAGGCCTTCAGCTAAATCATGCGTACTTCCCTATAGAGCTTTTAGCTGTTTGGCAGTTGCTGAATGGTTTGGTGCAAAATGATCAAGTGGTCAGAATGATTAAGAGGCTCTTATCATATAGTGCAAAATGAAATATAATTGTTTGGTAATTGTTCAGAATGAAATTAGGGCGATGAATGGTTAAAGGAGACCCAAGATACAAAATTATTCAGAGGGTTTTAGAACCATTAAGAGGCCGACTTCTTTTTGCCGAACAAGATTCACCTCTTAGCGATTCTGAGGCTGCCCCTTAATGGAACTATTAAGAGCTAAACAAACAAGTTCTTAAAAGGGACTACCCCAATTCTAGCAACAGCACGTGGCATCAGGACCACCGAACAGGCATCCAAATTACGTTTTTGACCACCTAAGTATACATGTGGGATAACTCTGCTCTCCACGATCTTTGGTCTTAAAAAGGGTGAACTCATAAGGAAGAAAATTTTAAGCCAAGTGAGAACTGAACCAAATGGGAGAATTTTAACCGCACAAAGTTTTACCAGCATAAAGTAAACAAATCATATATGTAATGAACTCTCAGCAAGAAATGACTTAAGACCAACTAGGTTGCAACTCATTAACCTGCTCCTCAAGAAAGAGAAATTGAAACCCTCAGGTGATGAGATGAGCAAAGAAAATACGCACCAGATAAATGACAATTCTGAGAGTAGGTTAATCTTGTCACATTTTGGAAGGCAGAATCAATATCATCCAGTGTGAACAAATCAAACTCTGATACTTGCTGCAGAGGGGGGATTTAGTTAGAAACCCAAGCAGAAATTATTTACACAAAAACAAACACGTGCCATGAAAGTGGGAAACTAAAAAGTGCGGTCACAGAAATGAGGTAAGAGAAATAGATTTTATGTATCGCTATCACAGTATCAGGGGATCAAACCCTGAGAGGATACACGAGGAATAGATCATATCGATATCTGAGGTAAATCTGTATGGTTTACTACAGACAAATCAACAGTTACGGATCAAGTGTAAAGCCTAAATGAATAAAAAAGTACAAATAGAGCAGAAGCAAAATGAGCTTGTGAATCTTGAGTCACTTTAACAAGCTCTACATGTAGTCTCAACGGGTGAAAAAAATCTGATCAAACAATTGTTTCATTTAGAAAGGAGCTTTTACCTTGAAAAATCACACGATTACCTCATGGGGAGCTAGCAACACTCAGTAAATATGTAAATACGACTGTTGCATAAAAGTTGAGCAACAACACAAAATCTGAATTGATTTTTTTGTAACACGGATACCCACAACTTCAAGACAGACGATTATGTGTTTCTGTTCTACAGTTACTAAAAGTCAAAAGCCAATTCTCATGATTGGTGAAACAAAGCATGATTGACTATGTAGTATCAGGTCTAACACTCTAACTCATCATTTCAGTGACACATGTAAGCTTCTTATGCTAGATGTGCCATGACAGCCTTTGATTATGAAACATCACTACAACTAACAAGACATAATTGCCATACAACAAAATAAAAAGCTAAGGACTGATGCTTCACCTTGCTGGAAAGATAGTGATCATACATAGTTAATAACCCTAATCTGTAGACAGGTTCTGTTGCATAAATTGGAGCAGAAAGTCCGAATTGTTTCATGGCATAGGGTAAAGCACCAAGATGCATTGTATCTGAATGTGACAACAACACAGCATCTATCTTTGAAGCAACCCTGCAACAAAGATTAACAATATTTTGTTTAAAAAAATATTACTAAACCACATAATAAAGGCCCTTGCTATGGATAGTATTTCCAAAGGCTCACATTTTAATCACCATAATGAGTCACTCCCTTCCAATGGGGGGAGAGAGTGAGAGAGAGACTTATTTGACTTCAAGTTTTTTCCGAACCAACTTCAAATTTAGTACGAATTCTGTGAAAAAAAATTGGGGTAATTGACAGCATGCATCAAACTTAACGGCAAATACTACCAATAGAGAACATATGGCGTTAAATCTGTAATAAAACCTAAATCAATTCTAGGGTTTTGGAGTGACAGATTAGAGGTTAAGTCAAATGTCTGGTTTATTCCACAGATAGGTAACATTTGATCACAAGAATTTAGGGATAAAACTTCTTGACTGCGAATTCATATAGGTGGTTGCTAATTCAACTTCCAATTACGTTGTTCCGATAACTTCAACAATTCTCGACTATTTGACCCCAATAAATCCACATTTAATTTCCCCTCGCTAATTCTCGGTGAACTTAAGAATTCAAAATGCAAGAGCGGGAACTACAAAAGCAATGAAAGAGAAACCTGGATAGAGGTTGAAGGAGGGAGGGATCGAAGTGATCGTTCCAACCACAATCTATAAGAAAGTTGAAGCCATCGATGGAAACCAAATATGATAATGGGTTTTCATTGTACACTCCACACAGTGGCGTCACCTGCACCGACGTTCCCATCTCTCTCTATCTCTATCTATCTATCTGCTTCCGACTTATTGGCTGTCGCCGGAAACCTAGTTTCTTCTACCACTGACCAGTCGGAGCCGGAAGAAGAAACGTTCGAACCCGTTATACAGAAAAAGGGTTTAGAAGCCGACTCGGACAAGAATGGTACGCTGCGTCTAGGTTTTAGCCCAACAAGTGTTTTTCTTTTTTATTTTCAGATATATTCTGCGTTCCTAAATAAATGTATAAATTATAATTGTAAATCATAAGGGTGGTGTCTAATTGGTTTGAGTTTCGTTTCAAAAATTAAAAGTATCAGAAGGTGTCAGGTTCAAATCCAAAAAGGAATAAAAATGACCATGAAGGTTCAAATACAATAACTTCATGCTATTTGTAAAACAGATAGTCGTCTTGAAATTAATCGGCTCATATAACAGATTAAATATTCAGATTAATTAAAAAATATATATAATTATTATATTTTTTAATTAATAAAATGATAATTTTATCCATAATTTTAGAAGGAGAAATTTTGTCAGTAATAAATTAAATATTTATTTTTTAAAATATATATTTATTTTAAGATAAATTAAAATAATAATATAATATTTATTTTTAAATAGTCTTTTTTGTTCTCGAGAAATAGACTAAAATAGACATGTTCTCTTTTGTTCAATTTTTTATTTTATTTTTTAATTTGTCGCTAAACAACTAAAATTACGTGTATTTATTTTCTAACTTGTGAAATATCCTTTTTTAGATTAAAAATATGATTTTAATGTGTTATTTTTTCGTAAAACCATCCTATTAGAATCATATTTAGAAAAATACATTTCGTAATTTATATATTTGGACGAGTCGTGAGTCTTGATTATTTTGCGTCAAACCAAAAAAATAGGTCAAAAAAAATAAATTTTGGTAACAAAATTGATTATCGATAATTCTAATCGGTACCAAATAAAAGTTGCCTTCAAGGACATCCGGGTTTTTATTTCATTTTATAACTGAGAATGTTAAAATATACATATGTAATTTCCAATCTTGACTCACTTTGTTTGACTAACTTAACTTTGTTTATCCTTGTTTGTTAATTTCTTAATAGATTTGGGTAGATATTGTTAATTTCTCAAAGTTGTAGCTGGTTGCTGGTTAGAAGGGTTGCGCCTCACTATTGGGAAAAGATGGAGGTTAGCGGAGCAAGTATTACAACAATTCAAGGGGCAAACCTGGTCACTAAGAATTCATATATAAACCTTGTATCTTCTGGATCAAAGCACACAATTCATTTTTCCATTCACTCGGTACTCGTTCTCTTCAAGAAGCTCTCTCTCTATTTCTACTTAAGATCTATCTCATCTTCTCAAGCTATTGCAAAACCAAGGGTAAATAACTAGATGATAAAAGCATATTATATGAATAGTTTATAACGGTGGAGGTTCAAACGAGAACACCTCCATTTTACGAGAATGTGAGAACACCCTTATCATATGTGATAATACGCACGAAGGGACCATGTGATTAGCGGACGACATACTCTACGACTTAGGTCATGCCAAATGTTGTCTGCGTCTATGATATAACACCAAATGTGATGGTCTTGATGAACTATAGTATTATATCAATAACACCCTTATCACATATGATAATACTTGTGAAGGGGCTTAGTGGTGTAAGGGCGACTTGGCTCTCAACCAATATCACATTGAAAATCACTCACGTCTCTTATTTAGTATCACATGTATATCATATGTGATTGTCTATAGTAAAAAAATGTTATTGCATTCTCGTAAAATGAAGATGTTCTCGTTTGAACTCTTCCCTGTTTATAACATAGGATATATATATATATATATATATATATATATATATATTAACCAAAATAAATAATGTAACGATAGTCAAGTTTGAACTATTATTTCTAATTCATCTCATTAGAATGAGCTTATTTGGATCCAACCTATTTTCAACTCGTCTATCTCCATTTGTAAAATTTAGATATCAATTGGGTTTTTGGTCTAAACGTGACCAAATTATTGGGTTTGTTTTGGTTTGCCGTTGGACTACCAACTAAATCTATGTCTAGTTCTCATCGGGTCGGGTTGATTTGGGCCTAACCAATTTCGGCCTAACTATCTTGACTTGTAAAATGTAGCTATCAATTGGAATTCGGCTTAATACAAATCAAAGTTTCTAGGGCTATTTTTTCATATTACGTTAGACGATCAATTTTGTATATATCTTATTAACGTTTTTTTTACTATTGATCTGTTATTGAAATGTTGGCTTGCAAAATTTAGGCATCAATTGATTTTTGGTCCGAATATTCAGATCAAGTCATTGGGTCTATTTTTCCATATTAGATAGGACGGCCAGTTAAATCCATTGTATAGCCCTACATATAGACATTCTTTGTTGATTCATTTACAAGCATCTTTTAATCATTTGATGGACGAATTGGCCCCTCTTCTGTCGACCCTCTTTACGCGACATTCATCGGTCCTACGTTAATTTATTCAATTTTTTTATTATAATTATTTTATTTTTTGTATGTTTTAATTTTGTATAGTAAACGGTTGTAATAGTTCAATAAAGGTGTATTAAGAACATGCATAAATGTCATAAATTGATTGAATAAAATATATTAAATAATAAATTGTTTAAAAAATTATATATTGTCACATCTATTTTGATAATAAATATTCAAAAAAGACAGTGATAAAACGTTTAATGATCCATTTGACATAAAGTCATATAAAAATAGGCATAATAATTACGTATTTGAATTGTGCTATAAATGACAATAATACCTCATAAATTGTTCAGTAAGTTTTTTGAAAAACTTTATATAGAAAACCAAGTTTTTTCTAGGCCTACTCATCAACTGAATAAACGTTTATTCCATCTATAAAAAAAAAAAACCATCTCAAACAAAAACTTTCACAGTATGTATAATCAGTAACGTTAATCCACACAAACTGTTTTATTCATGTAGGAATTAATGAAAAAACAACCAAATGTACCAACCCCTATGATACACACACAAACCACAAGGGTTGTGGCATAATAGTTGAGACCATGGGGAATGTGGTGGAATATCTCATATGTTTAGGGTTCGATTTCATACTTACATAACTTGATCATCATAAACAGTAATTAAAGTAAAATTAGCAAAAGTATATTCATTTGCTGACATGTATTATTTGTGGTTTCATAAAAACAATAACATGCGAAGAAGACACGATACGATGTAGTTTGGTAACTGAAAACTTGAAAAATGAAAAGGAAAAGGTGACCTGGCAGCCGACCTTTCATGTTTTAGATGCTTCATAAACATACCAAACCAACCCTTTTAGTTTAAAAAACGCAACTTTAACCCCTCAAATTTAAATATTTAGCTTTTTGAATATAACAAAATTTGGGTGTTTTTTTAACAACTTAATTTAGATCACAAAAAAATAAGTAAAAATTAAAATTTTAAAAATCTCCCTCTCTCTCTCTCTCTCTCTTCTTTTTTCACCTGTCTTCTCAGCTCTCTTCGTAATATATAATGTGCACACAAGATAAACATATTATGAATATTTTTTAAAAAATATTGTTATAATTTGTGAATATAATAATATGAATATTTTTTTAGAAATACTGATATAATTTGTGAACATTTTATAAATCTACGAGATCTGGTATAGCTTTTGAAAATATTGTAAACACCGACTAAAACAACAAAACTAAATTTAAATCTACCACTTGTAAACATCTTATTACAAAGTTTCTTCATACTTGTTTTCATTATGTTTACATATTTAATTGTGTTGTACGTTTATGTTAGAGAGAGAGAGAAATATTTACTTATTTTATTTTTTCCTAAAAGGATGTATTACTTATTTTATTAGTTAACAATATTACGCATCTTAAATTAGTCGTTCACAAATTGTGGAGTTCTCATTTGATAAACCCACAAAAAATAAACAGCTCGTTTGATAAAATATATACTGCTCAAGTGGAAAAGGGGGGAAACCTATGAAACTTATTGAAATATTATCTGAATTAGTTTTTTTTTTATTTAACTTATAAGATAGTTTTCAACTTACTGAACGAAGGTTTTCGATATACTCACAAAAATAGAGTAACTCGTGATTGCAAACATAATATTTATAAAATGTGGTTTTAGCATTAGTTCATATAGAGTACGGTTTAAACGAGAACAATAACCAAATAAGAAAATAAGAGAATGAATATAAACCACACAATTCATTAAATAACGTCTTAAATCAAAATTTCATAAAATAATAAACAAGGGCATAGAAATCTTTTATTTATATAATATTTATCTAAGATTTTTACTTTTATCATTTTCATCAAAACCACATTTGATTCATAATTAATCGACTTTTTTTTTTCAACTTCATTTTCTTAATCACGTGTGGCATAAATTAAGCACTAAAAAATAAAAATGCTGGAAATAAAACCACATGTCATGTGTAGTGTAAGTGTGTAACACATTTAATATGTATAAAATCACAGTGTGATTAAAAACGTAATTCATAATTGTTGGGTCACCTGTTGATTTGGTGATGATCCACTTATTTGTCCCACTATCCTATCAACACTTAATAGTTATTGGTTTATTTGTATGTTAGTTTCTTGGTACATACTTAAAGTCTTTGGCAAAATTGAATACTGGCCGATGTGAAGACAGAAGGTTATCGATACGGTACTGTTGATCAACTGTCTAAATTACACACCAAGACTCCAAAGTAGTTGATTTGAAGATTGAAGATGTTTTGATTTGACTAGCCAATTGAAGGAATAACTTCATGCACCGAGATTTGTAAGTGGCTGTTTGAAGCTAATAATAATCCATTCAAAGAAAGTTTATCTGCAGACTTACCATATCTCTGCAAAATTTGTACCTGATATAGACATTCCTTTGTCAGTGGGTTTGTGTCTACATGAACAATGTTGTATGAACGCGGAGTACAATGAAAATGATACATCAACTATGGTCAAGTCAACCTCTACCTTCTTATCTTAAGGTGACAAGTGTCATCAGACATGTAGTACATGAAGGTGGTATAAAAGGTAGAGTGCATCTCCTACGCAAACTACGCTTCCCTTAAAGAATTTCTAAGTGCATTATCAAGGCAATCGACTATCTTCTATTACCCTCCTACTCTCTTGTGTGTGAATAAAAATTTAGTGTTCTTTATTTATTTGCAAGTACTTTCTATGTTGTTCTTGTAAGTTCTTCTTTTTGTGAGATTGTTTAGATTATGTTATCATTTTCTTATTCCACAATATTTTGTATTGTATTTTTGTGTGTTAATTATTGATATACCTCGATAAGAATTAAATTTTTTTATGTAATTATATTCAACCTCCTTCTACAATTACCTTTTGTTTATTGCCATCTCATTCGGAACCAACAATAATTTACAAATATCAAATTTGATGTTGTGGATGGCTCAATTTTCTTTGTTTTTACACTGATCAATATCACATCTAAGGGTGTAAATGAGACGAGACAACTCGCGAGCTACTCGAAATCGACTCGGTCAAAACTCGGTCAACACTCGACTCGAACTCGAGCTCGACTCGACATACTAACGAGTCGAGCCGAGCTATCTGATACTCGACTCGATAGGCTCGTGAGATACTCGAATATATTTTTTATATAATTAATTGTATAATACATTTTATAAAATATACAATATAAAAAATTAATAACAATTAATTTATAATATAATATTAATGTGATTTTAATATGATTTCTTTTAATATAATTTATAAATTATACACATTTTAGTCTCTCTACCCTTTTATAATATTATGTATTAATTTTAATATATAATTTGTATTTATTTAGTTTAAATTATAATTTGTATATAATTTTAATATATAATTTGTATTTATTTAGCTTCTGAAAGTGAATGAATAAGTGTAATTTTTGATCCCACATCGGTAATGAATGAAGAATTGAAAGGTGGAGAGATGGGTTTAAAAGGAGAAGGTGGGGGAAGGGAGAAGGTACTTACCTGGACCGCTGGACGGGGTCAATGGGTGGTCAAGATGACCCATGGCCTAGGTTGGCGACCTCCATTGCACTTTGGAGGGGCTCCAGTCTAAGGTCGGCCTAAGAGGTCGAACCTAAGTTATAATTTAGGCACGTTCGTTTATGTTCGAGTTCGAGTTCGAGCTTGATTCGAGTTCTAGTTCGAGCTTGATTCGAGCTCGAGTTCGAGCTTGATTCGAGCTTGAGTTCGAGCTTGAATCGAGCTCGAGTTCGAGTTTGATTCGAGTTCGAGTTCGAGCTTTAATCGAGTTCGAGTTGAGCTTCGATTTTGACTACTCGCGAGTTTTCGAGTCGAGTTCGAGCTTCGAGATTAGGTTTCGAGTTCGAGTCGAGTATAATGATACTCGAGCTCGACTCGCATCATTTACACCCCTAATCACATCTAATATTTTGATGAAAATTAAATATATATTTTTTGGAAAAAAAATGTCAATTAACTATGGATAACACATGTTTTGACGAAAATTGTAATTTTTTTAAATAAATCCTCTCAATAAAAAATAGATATTTTAAATGAAAAAACTAAATCACGTTTATTTTAAATATTTTAAAGAATAAAAAAATGTAAATGAAAATTTAATCATGTTTAAATCACGAAAACTGTAAAAAATCTTACATAAATATTTTAATTAAATACATTAAATAACCCTTATAAAATAAATGGAATTTTCATAATATTCTATGTGAAACAAATGACAAATAAACTATTTTGACGATTATTAAGAAACTTTTATTTAAAGCAAGCTTCAGATAAATGATTGGTTGAGATTCATCCTCTTGTTTTCTTTTTTATTTAGCATTCTCGTTTGAATTTTGTCTTCACACGTATTTAAGTCTTGTGGGTTGGATTCACGTGAGACCAATCTGTTTTCGTGAGACTCTTAAAACCACATTTTTACACTTCAAATTTCACAACAAATCAGTATGAAGATACGAATATCCGAACATTCATAGCACAAACACTCTTTCACAACGTTTTCATGTAAATTTCCAATGTAAAAAAAAAAGTCTAATGGATCTCACAAAAACTGGTCTCACATGATCTCAAGTATATATTTGACTTTTAAAACAATGTTTTTGCTGATATTTTCATAATTTGTTCCCTTAAACTTTTAATATTTGTACCATTTGCTACGAAATAATTATTTAGTCGTTTATATTATACATTGGCTGTAATTTTGGCATTTACTAATGAAGTATCTGGAGATAAATATTAAACATTAATCAATAGAAATAAAAATAAAAAATCATGTTTGGTTTTATATAATATAATTAGCTCATCTTCCAACGAGCTTCATTCTCATTACAAGTTAAATGGGGGGAAATGAATCCATTCATCAGTTCGAAACAACCCCTAAATATTTAAATTTGATCGCTTGAAATGTATGTTGATAAAAAATTTCAAAAAAACACACATTTGAGGGAATTCGACTTTTATTATAACACATAAAGTAAAAAATGAAATGCGGATGCATTTTTTGACGTTACATGCAATAGCGTGAACATGTAAATATAAAGTAGTATTCGTAATAATACGATTTCTTGAATAATCTACCATTTAAATGTTTGGTCATCACAAATTATAAGGGGACATAACGACCAATTATACGTATCAATATTCAAGAAAAATGTTGTCATTGTCATATATATCAATAGTCGGGATTTTGGTGATGACTTTCGAGGGTTTCAGGTGATAAAACATTTTCATATTATATATGAGTTTCAAATTCGATTTAACTAAAAAAAACTGAGACATGCACATGTTCTATGTGCTGCACGACTTCATGTGTCATGTGTCTAATCACGTAACAAAAAAACTTGAATCGAAATGTTAACCTGGTCGATGTACACATACTTGCGTGTGTTTTCAGATGAAATGGAATATTATTTTGGCAAAAAACTTTATCATTGACGTCAAGATTAAATGAAAACAAAAGTGTGGTTCACGTTACTCAATTAATCAATTACGTTTAGGACCACCACTCCCAACCTAAAATTGAAATAACGTTTCAATTGTTTATATCATCAGTATACTTTAATTTTTTGTACAGTTTATGACCAAATTTTTCGTCCATTATTGTTTAGTGACAAAAATACATTATTCAAACAGTTTGGCAAAAACATCAATTCAAGTCCTTTTCAAGGTAATTGAAATGTTTGTTTGGTTGTGTAAACCCTCCAAAAGTCCAAAGTTACAGACTGACCAAATAACTTCGAATCCAACTTAAAACCATGATAAAAGTTATTAATCGTACACTACTTGAAACTTATTAGGAACTAACAATTCTCATCTTCTATCCATGTGGGACGAGTTGTTACAGGTTGTTAACTTTATAGTCATGAAATTAGTCGAAACACGTCTAAGCTTTCCTATACGCAAACGTTTACAAAAAAAGAAATACTGAAAATTCCATTTCGTCAATTTCCTTCAAACCAAATACTGCCTTAAATATAATGGCCAAGTTAATCATGCAAACTAATGACAAGTTACATGGTTCATGTGCATATGTATAGATCAAATGGGTTAAAAAATATACCGAAAACACTAAGTTGGACTAAGATACGATTCAAACCATTGACTTTGTGTGGCGAGCCGATACAGATGTTGCAGTGGATTAACAAGAATAGTTCAGATTAGTTCTTATTATTTTATAGAAAACAGTTTGAAGGGTTCATTGAACGGATTATGAAACCAGTTACAAACTAAATTGATTATTTCTGATTATACGCGTAAAACCAGTTACGTTTTTTTAACCCAATATTTATGCAATTGATCTCATTAATCTTGGTTTTTATGAAATTGATTCCATAAACGTAGTGTCATTGATTTACCATTATTTACGATTACATATGATATTAATTTCATTATTCTCGGTTTTTGTGGAATTGATTCCATAACTGTATTGTCATTGATTCACCATCCATTACGATTTGCTACATATACAGGGATCAATTGGGTTTTCAGAACAACTCCAACAGATTCTCTAAAGTGGAAATCAAAAGTCAAAATCTAAAAAAAAATGTTCATCTTCAACAACTTATTTATCTTGGATATTACAATATGGATTATATTATTAAAATATTTAATACATTTCATAAAATAATTTTTTTATCACTGGTATAAAATATACAAAATAATTGTTCTTACATAAGTAATCATTTTTTGAGAGTTCTCTAAATTTGGAAAATTTCACATTATCTCTCCTACTTTATCCATTTTCGAGAAAGTTTTGGAAATCTGTTGAAGCAAAATACCTAAAATCTTCATTTTAAAGAATCTGTTAGATATGCTCTTATGATATATAATCAACATCAAAGTACAACTTAGACGCTATTCAGGTTCAACAATTCGTTGCAGAACCATTCTAGTCGTTGTACTACAGAAACAGACACCACACGTGAGGGATAATCTGTTTTAATAACAATTTAAACGTCAATTAAACTTTGTCGATTACATTCGTTTCTGTTTGAATAACAAATAAATAAATACAACCACAAGAGTGGTGCCTGATTGGTTTGAGCTTGACTCCAAATGTCAAAAATATCATGAGGTTCCATGTTCAAATCAAAAAATGAATAAAAATCCCCTGGTGGTCAGGGAGGTTCAAATGCGGTGACTCAAGTCTATCTACAAAGCAGGTGGTCGTCCTGGGATTAGTCGGTTCGCATAGCGGGTTGAATATCCAAGTTAATAAAAAAATGAATAAATATATTTGGTGTAACATTGAATTTTTTTCCTTAATTGATTTTAAAGCATTTAATTCGTCTTATTTTGGTTGAATTTTGGTTTCATCATGCGTAGCCAATTTGTCAAAAGAAAAAGGGAAAATTGGTTGGAAATTCGTTAGCCGAACCCAACCGCATTACAACCACCGAACCAGGGACTCAATTTTGACCTTTTTATTCGACATTTCACCAGCTGGGTTCGGGCCCTGGCCCGCCACGCTCACCAATCGGTCTCACGGGCGGGCCCCATACGCCATTTAGTGGGCCTTTCTTATCACTCACCTATATCGTCACTACCCTCCCCGCCCATCTCCAGATTCGAAACCGAAACCTTCGTCCATATTCTTCATCTCTTTCTCTGTAAATTGATTCTTATCCTCATAAATCGTTTTGATTTTTTTCTAATTTATGTACAGAGATTTCACGATCGATTCCGATTTTGTTTCTATATCAGGAAAGCTAAAAATCCTGAGGAATTCGATCTTTTTTTTTAAAGCTGATACATTGATGATATTCGTATAGGAAACGGTTTTGATTTTTGTGATTTTGTGTAAGTTGTTATAAATTTAACAATCGAAGAGAGTTCGGAAGCTCACAATCGACAATGAAGCTTGTTGTTAAGATCGTGCTCGTCATCGTCGTCGTTGTCGTCTTGCTAACATGCGCTTCAACGTCTGTTTCTTCCGATGATCGTCTTCTGGTGAACATGACTGTAGTTCACGGCGCTGCCGCTACCGGAGCTTGTATGTAAAATTAAATAGTTTTTCTGTAATTTGAAAACTGTTTTACGTATTTTGGAATGATGTTTGATGAATCTATGGTGTTGGTAGATTGCTTGGACGGTAGTTTGCCGGCTTATCATATTCACAGAGGATCCGGCGCCGGAGAACGCAACTGGCTTTTGCAGTTTGAGGTACTTTACCTTTTTGCTCTTATTGCCTTAACGGTTTTCGATGTAAAAACGCCATTTTCCACTTTCTACTTTCCAGATCTTTTACGAACTCATTTGGAATTCCTTTTTTTTTTCTTTGACTCGAATATCAGGTTTTAGTATTGTCCTTTTGTGTTCCTATATGTCGATGCAATCTATGTCCTTTCTTGTTTTCAAGTTATTTGGTGTTTGCAGAAGCTTTAAAATATTTGAGAATTCACTTTTTCACTCTCGATGGTCAAAAGTAGAAGTACGAATTAAAGCTCATAAAATATATGTTGAAATAAACCAAAACAATAATGTGATGCTATTCATAACTCTTATCATTTATGCTTTTTTTTTTTCCCCTTCTTTTCAGAAGTATTATTATGGGGTGAAGTATGACAGCCATGTTGGCTACTTTTTTAAAGATAAACGACATCATTTTGCTAAAAGAAGCCACAGAAAAACCCAACTCTCTCTTACCTATCTTTCTCCATTTACTCCCTCACACACACAAGAAAACCCCAACACTGTCTCTTTGGAGGCCGTGTGTATGTTGTGGTGTGTATATATATATATATATATATAAAAGATTTGTGACATCACTTTTTTACACTTGGAATTTAACAGCAAAATATTGTGAAAGTAAAAAAAAATCCAAACCTTCAATTGTTTACTGTGAAGTTTCAAGTGTAAAAATATGGTCTCACGAAAATAGACCGATCTCACGTGAACCTAACCATATATATATATATATATATATATATACATGTTTGTATATGTATTGTGTATGAGGGGGAGAGAGATGGAAAAAAATATGTGTTTGGTGTTTCTTTTTCTTTTTTTAACATGATTGTGTTGGGAGTCTTGCTTTGTTTGCTGAAAATGCTAAACAAAAGCTGATTAATTTGGTTTGAATGAAGTTACAGCTTTATATAGAAATAGTAGAATTTTTATCTTTTCCTTAATAAAACAAACCAAGTATTTTGTAGAAGAAAATGTGAATGAAATCCAGAAAATACTTAATAGTATGTATTATAAGGAAAAGCTCGAGTGCCACATGGGGTTCTTTCCGAAGTTCTGTCAAGAATATAGCTATCGAGTATTTTTTTCGGTATCTTTAAGGTCCCATAAATTAGTTTAGTTGTGTCTAAGTTGGTTCCTTATTAAGAAATCAATCGATATATACAAAATTTTTGGCTTCAATTTTTGAGATAACGCTTGAGATAAATAAAATAAAATAAGAACATCTTTAATGAGAGATTCTTGTAAACAAAAAATGAAGATTCTTGTAAGAACCATCATTAGAGAGACTTTTTATAATAACTTCACATTTTTAGATTATTTTGCAAAACCTTTGTTTCGAACCTTAAACTTGATATAAAGTAACATTTTGGTATATATATTTTATTGACTTTATAATTACTAATATGTATAATACATGAGACCCATCTTAAGAGTATCCACAATGTTGCTTTTTGGGAGGTTTATCATTTTACGTTAAGGTTTTTCAATATAGTTGTGGCTTTTTAGTTGGAAGTTTTTTGTCATAGGTCGAAACTTTACGACTTGTTTTTCAGAGATTTTTGTATTTAACCAGTTCTACCTTTATATATTTTATAAAAGTTTCGAATTTAATCAGATTTAACTTTAGTTGAAAAATCCAATACTGAAATATAAAAAATAGGTTATTATAAAAACTTCTATTCGAGATTTTCTGTATTGAATTACATCCTTATATAGTCAGAAGAACACGATCATCCTAACAACTATCGACTTAAATTTTTTAATAGCTCATTGTTACTAAATTTCTTGCACAAACCAAACCGACATGATGTAACTAATAAATAAAACTCAAATTAATATGCTTCAATATTGGTTTGGTGTCATAGATAGCTATATATGGGTAGATAATTAATATTTATGAAGTCATTATTACAAGATTAAAATATAAGTGGTGCAAATTGGAAGAGAGTTTGTTAGTGGGGTCCTTGATATCTGTCTAACTTGCAGTGGTTTGAAATGGTAATGATAGGGTGGCGGGTGGTGTAATGATATCGAGTCATGTGCCGAGAGAGCCCGAAGCCGCCGTGGATCTACTCGTTTGATGAACAAATTGGAGTCTTTCTCAGGCATCCTCAGTAATAATGCATCTCACAATCCTGGTAATCTTCTCATTTTTTCTTTCCCCCAACTTATTTTTAAAACTTGCCAAATTTTATCCACCAATCTATACTATATTATAAAATATTTGATAAAAACTATTTTTTATACATTAAATATTTTTTATTAATGCATATTACTTAATATGTGAGATTGCAAATAAATTGTGCGTAAATACAATTTATTAAAGCTCGATGTTTGAATTTGTGTAACTAACTGCGGATAAACATAATCAAATAGAGGATAAACATCTCATTTCAAAATATAAAAAATCTAAAATATAATTAGGATAATTATCGAGTTCTAACAAAATAATTAATTATTATCTTTATAAGAAAATTATATTGTTAATTACCAAATATAAATTACTTCGTTATTAAACCTAAATTAAATTATAATAAAATAAAATTGAATTAAAAAATTACACAAAAAATGAGGAATTTTAAAAAGTTAATTTTGATACTAATATCGATATATTTTTGTCAAATTTTTATGATATGTTCAAATTTATATTTTATTCAAAATAAAAACATCATCGTTTTTTTTTTCAAAATCAAAACATCATCGTTTTTTTTAAATCACATAAGACCATATTATAACATCGACTGAGATAAAAATAAAACAAAATATTAAAATCAAGATGTCTCTCACTGCATTGCGCAAGTACCCTTCTAGTAGATTTAAAACATGAAAACAATCTCTTGTATTTTAATTTTATTGGTGGTATAAAATGAGACGTGAAATCTAAGATTACCCTTTTGTTTTAACTTTCTTATGCTCTATAACATGGGAAGTTGACCAAAATAGTTAATCTACTCAACCAAATTCACTTTTGACTATTTTTTCAATCAAATTATCATTTTAGTATACACTTGTTGATTTTGTCTAATAAAATTCTCATGAACATTTTAGGTCCGTCATCAAGATATGTTTTCAGATACCCAAATTTAATAATCCATTAAAATAAAGTTTTCACGGAATCTACTACCAGAAATTCAATATATAATTGAAGATATTTAATTATATTAAAGCAAGATAAGATCAAAAATATTAATTGTAACATATTCGTTTATGTAAAATTCAAAAAAGAGATATGATATGAATACAAAAAATTATAATGTGTTTTTATAGGCTTGTAAATACTTTTGTCGAAAATAGATGTTTTTTGGTGTGTCATGATGAGACGAAAAATGTCGCACTCATATCACTTTCATTCTTAAATTAATTGTATTATATGTATCTAACAAGCCAAAACTTTTTGTTCAAAGGTGGCTCTATTCACACACAATCACACATATAAGTGTTGAATAGTCACATATAAATGTTGAACCTTCTGGGGTTAGCTTAACTGATAATAAGTTTTAAAAAATTTAGGGATTTTCTTCGGTGGTCATCAATTAAATTCATGCAAAGTCACTGGGAATTTTCTGGTTGTCCTCTAGGACTCCTAGGATTAATCGAGGTGCTCTCAAATTGACCTGAACACCCACGATTAACATTTAAAAAACAGAAATATCCTAATTGCTTGATGTCAATTATTCACTCTTTATTTTCTAGCATTTTAACTTTATGGTCACTAAATGCATCGATTCCATCACAAGGATCATGAGGTTTTAAGTTTAAGTTTTACCAAAAAAGATCAATGAGTATACCGATAGTTGTCATATTAAAAAACAAAATACCAAATATATCACTTGTTGGATCAGACGATTATGTAAAAAGTCAGTCAATTTACGAAAAATATGATAAAGGCCAACTCTCATAAATTGATTGTATGACTTTTGAAACAAATAATATAATCCACTAATTAAATTTATAATATAATAAAAATAATTTACCTAATATTCGTACAATTTTCTGACCGAAAATGATTGAAATCCAAGAGTCGATTAATTCGACCATTAACCATTATTGTAGATCTGGTAAACCATGTGCAAATTTTATTGTCGTTTTCACGTGTTTATTTATTAAGGTAGACAGCTGCTGGATTGGATTTGTTCATATTTTACTACTCTTTCCTATTCCAGCTTTCACCCATGCTTCTCAGTTTCCACTAATCCTTTTGCCCCACTTATCTTTGGTTGGACAGTCTTGAAATACCAATACTACCCTTCCACTCTTCAACTTCCTCTCATCTCATGTAGGGTAACAACTGGAAGGGTACCAATGTCGATTGCCTCCATGACTAAAGTTTTGTAACATTTTATGCTTTTGTCACGTTCACATAAAATCTCAAGACCATTTCTTGCATTAAAAGTATGTGTAAATAACGATAAATTCTAATCCACTATATTATTTTTTATAGTAAATAAGATATTTTAAAAATATTCTTTATTTATTCGATTTTTTTGTTACCATAACTTTTTAAATTATATTATATAACCAAAATAAAATATTTATATATTATTAATTTCTTATATATGTCAATGGTATGTTTTATATTATATATTTATTGTGTTTTAAATTATTAAAAAAATAATTATCTGTTTAAATAAATTTAAAACATAAAGATATATATCATAAATATCATTTACAATAAAATAAATTGAAAAATACATAAATATCTTGTATTTGTTTTATATAAACGTAGACATAGTTAAGTCAATCATATTTTTCAACTCTTTTTTACAACCAATTTCTGGACAAGTATTTAATTTTAAAAACATATATATTTAAAAGGATTTTATCAACCTTAAAATCATGAATTTTCTTACATCTTTCTAGTCATCCTCTGCATAAATTTCCTGACTCCACTCTTATACACATGTACTATTCACCAACGCCAAAATGGTGTGAGATTTGATGCTGAGTTGTAAAGATTCGGTGTTAAATTTAATGTAAAATACAAGTATTGGCGTTGGATTGGAGATGCATGACAATGGTCAACTGCAACGTTATCAGTGTACCGGACCAGGGGACTTCCCATTTGTAGATTAGATTTGAAAACCAATGAATAAACCATATATAGTTTCGAGAACTAAAGTACATATATTTTGTCAGGTCTACAACATTTATGAATTTGACAAAAACTGTTTTGCTTCATGACAACTATAACCTTACATAATACTAACAAATCTGAGCAGATTTTTACAACTGGAATCGCGTGAAGCTTCGATACTGCGATGGAGGATCTTTTGCCGGGAATTCTACATTTGACAACGGGGTGCGTAAATATGATATAACAGTTTCCGATTACCATTTCTTCGTGCCATTTATTTCTTATCATTAAGAAGTGGATATCATTTAATCTGCTTGTAATCTTTCTTCTAACACCAACAATTTATAATTTTCTTCATGTAATATAAATAATAGACGTTAGTACTTTATTTCCGAGGGCAACGGATTTTTGAAGCAATCATTGAAGATCTTCTACCAAAAGGCTTGTCTCATGCTAACAAGGTATAATGCAAAGTATATTCAATGACAAATCTACGAGTCGAGAAAACATTTGAAGCATGATTTTAATGAGCTTATAGTACCATTTTCTTGTGTTCACTTCGATTTTTCAGGCTTTGCTTTCCGGGTGTTCCGCTGGTGGTTTGGCATCCTACTTGCATTGCAACCGCTTCTCCAAGTATCTACCAAATACTACATCTGTGAAATGTCTGGGTGATGCTGGATTTTTCCTGGACTCGTAAGTTCTAAACTCCTTTTTTAAAGTTTATATAATATATAGGGTATATACTCACGTACCTTTCTCACCTTTGGTGAGATTTGAGCCATTTACCTCTTGGGAGGCTGGTCTCTATCAATAACCTGGATACCACTGGCCAATGGTCCTTTGGTGTATGTTCTAAACTTCTTAGGAGTTGTTTGAGTTCTGCTAACTTATCTTTTTTTTTTTACTTTCGGGTTGCAGACCAGACATCACCATGAACCACACTCAGCGAACTTTCTTTCAGCATCTTGTTGCTCTACAGGTACTCTAGCAACGATTTGTATATCTATACTTTCTTTTAAAGTATAAACTGTATATATACGGCAATTACTCATGTACGCTCCTCGCCTCATGAACCCTTGACCTCCTGAGAGGCTGGGCTCGACCAGTAAGGTGGTAACCTGAGTTGGGCTAATGACCCTTTTGCATTCATCTATTCTAGATTTTTTTGAATGTGGAATAAAAAGAAATCTTTTGACAGGGAATAGAACCGAACCTGGATGAGAACTGCACGAGTTCAATCAGTGATCCAAAACAAGTATTGTGCATTTTCACTCCCTTCTGCTTTGATTTTCCTGACAGTTTGAGTATAATTTTGACATTTGTTAGTTGCTTCACAGTGCATCTTCCCACAATATTTGTTGAAGTACATAGCACCACCGGTTTTCATCCTAAACTCGGCTTATGATGTATACCAAGTAAGATATATATTTGTGAATTGTGATGCCTAGTGATCTTCATATTTCAGTTGAGCTAAATTCTATGTGTTTTTGACAGTTCCATCACATATTAGTTCCACCATCTGCCGATCCACATGGACACTGGAATCGCTGCAAAGTGAATCCACAAGCATGCAGTCCTGATCAAATGGCCCTTTTGCAAGGTTTGTGACCTGTTTTTATAACTTCAGTTTACTAACATCTACTTGGGACCTGTTTGTTAACAGCTTAAGGATATACATGACTGTTTGGTTGGGCTTAATGATATAGAAAGTGGCTTTGGGGCTGTTTGTTAGCAGCTTAATGGGACTCAGCTTATGCGATCAGCTATGCATGACTGTTTGGTAGTGGCTTATCAATAAGTTTATAGGGGGAAGCTTTATGCAGAAGGCCAAGTTTTTTTTTCCAAACATGCCCCTCACAATTAAAAAATACACTCCTTGTATCTATGAAAAAGCCCTACCAAACGAAAACCTTCCTAATCTATACATACAGATTAATCCACTCATACAACTTTATCCATACATAATGAAAAACCAACCAAATAGCCCTTATTCAATAAGATTCTAGGAGGGTCTTTATGAAAGTCAAGTTTTTCCCAAATATGTCCCTTCCGATTAAAAAAACATGCTTCTTCCATACACAGAAAAACCCTCCTAAAAAAACGCTCCAAATCTGTATAGATTAATTAATCCACATAGTCAGCTTTATCCATACATGACTAAATGGAAAACCACCCAAACAAACCCCTATTCTATTTTGAATGTTTTGATTTGTTTAGCTTTTAGGGTAGAGATGCTTCAAGTTGTGAGGTCATTCATGTACAATTCAACAAGAGGAGGGATTTTTATAAATTCATGTTTCGCTCACTGCCAAAGTGAGTCACAAGACACCTGGTTCGCATCCGATTCCCCAAGAATGTTCAATGAGGTTAGTCTTGGTTTAAGTCATCTTCATATGTGAATATGCTCCAAACATGACCAAAACAATTTAACCATGTTCAACCATTATCCAGACCATTGCAGAATCGATTGGCGACTGGTACTTTGGCAGAAACGTTTCTAAGAAGATTGATCGGCCTTATCCATATGACACCACCTGCCATAACATCATAGGCCCTGCCTCCACCAATGATAACTTGTAGCTAGTATACTTGAATACTCGATAGTTTTAAAGCCCAAAATCAAAATTTTATACCATAAACGCAGACTGGCCATACCTCAAAAAGAAAAAAGATGGCGATACAGAATAGAATTAGAGAATAGTTACTAATTAAGGTTACACAAGGCAGCCATTCATTCTTCATAGTGCAAGATTTTACTTTTCATCATTGGGTTCAGTTGCAAAGAGTTGTAAAATGCATTCTTTGTACTTTGAGACTAGGTGATACATGCTTGTGCTATTTATCTCATTTTCAACCATGTAAGGACAGTCCAACTGGGATTAATTGAGTTTGAATTTTTTTAATATGATATCAAAGCAGGTGCCATTGGCCCAACAATATCTTGGTTACCGTAGAGCTCAGAAACCCCCCTCCCCTAAACATTTCAAACCTCACTTATGCGTGAGAATTTATTGTATATAAATATTATATACTAGAAAGAGGTGTTGACATGAATGGATACATACCCCTGTTTAGGGGTGTTCATCGATTGAAATCCAATGGATTTAGTTGGATCCAATCAGATTCAATCGTTCAATGGATGTTGGATTTCGTCATCCGATTGAATTTATCTCAATGGATAATTGGATCGGATTGTTCCATCGATTGGATGTTACTATTGGTTATCCATTACACCCCAGTATTTTGATACAAATTTCAACCAATTAATCCACCATTTCAACCGGTTATTCATATATCTTCTTAATTTTTCAAAAAAACACTACGTATAAATATCAACTAAAAAACAATTTTAAATGTTAATAATTATATATAGTTATTAACTGGATGATAATTGAATGGGTTATTGGATAGGATCAATTAGGTTTTATTGGATTCTGAATTGACTTCCAAGAAAATATCGATCCAAAATTTAGATGTTGAAATTTTAGATCCGATCCGATCCAATTGGACATCCGATTATTGTCGGTCGATTTAAAGCGGATAAGATGGTTTCTAGTTCTACACACGCCTGGCCCATTCCACATAGAACTTGAGGGGCTGTTTACCCAAACACTATCACTTACCTTACCTTACCTTACCTTACCTTATACGACTTTAGTCCATTAAAACCCAAAAATTTAACTGGTAAGATTCTGTCCTTCACTCTTACCGGGTTAAGATTTTCGATTTTTATGTTAAGGTAATATAACTTGGTAAGAGTTTGATAAACGGTCCATTCAAATTGCTATTAGTATATATATGGTTGATCATGATATCACTCAGGAAATATATAGAGAGAAACCATCAAATAGACAAGCAATTGATCGTAGTAATCAAAAAATACAACAATCCAACACAGAAATCATATACACGGATTGATGGTTCCTTATGTAGAATCCAACAATATAAAACTAAAAAGACGAGAATACCTGATTGTTGAGTAGTGAGGGCTTAATCCCAACTCAGATCCGTCAATCGGATATGGTTCCTTTTCGTACCAACAATCGGAGAGATGACCAAAAATTGTAGAATTCGAGTTGAAGGAGACTTAAGATGGGCAACAATATCAGCCCAATAAGTGGATCTGAGATGTACGACGAGTCTCAATACCGGCGACGCCATGTTTAGGATCCAAATAGCTAATTTAACTATTCAAGAAATTACATTCAACGCTATTTTTAAATCAAAATGTGGTTCCATATCTCATTTGACTGCACATCAAATTGTCATCGATTCGAAGGGAAATTAAGGTAAATAGATGTTTTATTCGACTCAATTCACTCCTTGTTGCAATCTACGAAGAGGGTATTTTTCTAGTCAAATGCCACTAAAGTTTCCAAAGCGCTTTCATCTTTAGAAATACTAAGTTTATTTGTTACATTTGTCGTATATAAATATTATCACGGAATCAGCTAATTTGGGGAGGTGGCTCATCAAAATGTAACACCAAAAACCTTTTAATGCTCATCAAAATGTAACACCAAAAACCTTTTAATGGAACTTGCAAAGGTGGTTATATATATTTTTTATAAACCTGAATATTCAACCCGCTATGTAAATGTGGCTGTAATTAAATCAAGGAAGTGGGTGATTTTTATATGTGGTCCAAACTCAAGATTATCTTTTATTTTTCCGAAATTGGTCCTTTCGTAAATTACGGCCCAAACACTTGCAAAGACATTATTTTTTGATAAGAGTGGGAGATGAATAGCTAAGAGGCGAATTATTTCGTGGAGAAAATGACTATTTCAATCAATTTTCCCTATTTTTGAAACCACTTGGGCCTTTATTTTATAGTTTTTTTCCTATCCAAATTTACTTTTCGACCACTTTTACTATCGAATTTCCATTTTAACCAGGATTGTTTTAAACTGGATTTTCAGATTAAAAAATATTTATTCAAATTTGCATAAGGATTCTTAGACAAATCTGTTACATATTTACGGAAAAAAAGTTCTCTTTTTTTGATTAACCTGGATATACAACCCGCTATGCAAACCGACTAATTCCAGAACAACCACCTGCTTTGCAGATATCCCATAGTCACCACATATGAATCTTCATGGCCAGAACAAAATTTTTATTCCTTCTTGGATTTGAACATGTGACCTCCTGGTACTTTTGACCTTTAAAGTCAAGCTCAAACCAATCAGGCACCACCTTTATGGTTAAAAAATAGTTCGAGTTTTAATCTAAAAATAGGTTACACATAAAACATTTGCATAATTTGACTCTTGAGCATCTACAACATTAGGCTTGCTGGGCTTCACTAAACATTAGCCCCAAAGACTTTTAAACCATTGATTCTCTTCATTTGTGGGCCCACTTTATCACTCTCTGTTTTTCCTTTTTTAAAATTGTTAATAAATAAAAATACTTTTAAAATAATATAAAATAACAATATTGATTATTTAAGTTAATATTTAGTTATTTTAACTTTTTATTTATCATAATTTTTATTTATTATAATTTTTATTAATATAGCTTTTATTTTTGTAATTATTAATTATTGGTTTTTAAATATAGTAAGTAATTTTTAACGATTACAATTTTTATTATGGTAGTATTTTATTATATAAACTATAAAATGGTCCATAATTGAGAGTGAAATGTTTATGAAATGTATAGAAAATAGAAAATTGATGTGACAAAGAGAAAAAAAAATGATAATAATTAATTTGTATTTTTTAATATCAATTTTTTAACTAATATATTTTATAGATCTATTAAAAGAAGATAAAATGATTAAAAATCAATAATTAATAATATAATAATAGAAAAAGAATGTATACAAGAACTTGTGTTCTAATAAAAACCTATGATTGGACATGAACCTCTGTCCCAACCGAAGGTTTTTGTAGAAACTCCAAGATAAAACTTCAATTGTAGGTATACTCTTAAGGTTTTTATGATTATGCGGAAAGCATTTGTAAATTTTCAAACATGGTACTGTAATTTTTATTATTAAACGGCTTATATAATTCTTTAAAAATTCAAAAAATATATAATTTACTAAAATTACATCGATAAAATATTAACTAATAATATACTCATGGATTTAGTTTTCTAACAAATAATAATAATTATCGATATAATAAATTTTCACAATTTTAAAAAATGGCATCTTAATTTTATATTTAATAAAAATTTATTTATTGATGTAAGTTTCTGATGTTTTAATTTTAATTCTAGACAAATATCTTATTCAGTATATAGTTGAAGTACATAAACATAGGTTGGATGCAATTAATGTGTCATTCTCGTACTCATATATAAATTTCACACCTATATCAATTATTTCATTGTCAAAATCACTATATACTTTTTACAAAATAAATACTTGGTCAATTACATAAAAAATATTCGTTATTTCATATCAGTTTTAGCTACAAATTTAATAATCATAGCTGTTTAGACCAATTTACATGCACCTCGACTAATCTTAAAAGACCCTAGAGAATAAACAATCAAAGAAGTCATTCAGTAACCGAGGGACTTGAACTGACCTCTTGAAAACAAAGTCAAATTTTTACAAACCGGTTTTAATCAACCAAGTATTTCCGTGGGATCTTTGAATGAGTTATGTTTATTTTTTTTAAATAAAAGTTATTCAATTCATGCAAATGTCAATACAATTGAATAAGACAAGAACAATTATAATAATTTAAGTCTATAATACGTAGTTCAGTTGATAAATGATTTTAACCAAATACAAGAATCTCAGTCTCCAATTAATCTCAACCGTTGAATAAGTGAAAGAAAATCTCATTACATTGATGTCTTTAAAAGCAGATTTTGCATATGGTCAGTTGAATTATATGTAATTAATTTTTTTTATTTAAATAATTATAATAATTAGAAACAGAAAAGTCAAAGAAGGCGGAGGGTGGAGAGGTCCCTACCATATGCACCCAAGTTATATTGGTCCTATTTTCGACATTACGTGCGTGCAAGCGTGTGCGCCCGACCTTAACCTCATGACTTCATATGACATGACCCATGGTCCCATGCCTTCAATGGTCTCAATTTTTATTTTTTAATTTATTTTTAATAACTTTAAAATGTTCTGAGAAAATGACATTAAGAAGTTATATTTTAAACTTAGAATCTAAAGTTTAAACAAATACCAAAAATTGATCGGATATGAAATAATTGATAAATGATAATTAGGTGTGTAAATGATGCAAGTTGAACTCGATTATTGGTATATATGATTCGAACAAATTCAACAACATTTTTATAGCTTTTGTTTTAATTATGATTTTAGTAATAAAAAAAATTGATTAATTTTTATAGTTAAAGAATGTACAATTTTTTCAAATATCTAAAAAATACATTATATTTTACAAATTATATTATAAACCTAATTATATATAAAAATGACAGTTTTACGAGCCTTTAGAGCCGAGCCTACTTGAGTACGTCGAGTATTGACCGAGTCAATCTGGAGTAATTCACGAGTTGTCTTGTATCGTTTATACCCATACTGATAACGGTCATCTTTTAAATTAAGGTCATCGTAAGAAAATATCAAAAAATTATTTTCTATATAAAATTTCATCTTAGATATGGTTTGTAATAAAATTATCAGAAATTATTATAAATACGATTTTTAAAATTGCTTATGTAATAACTATGTTCATTTGAATGGAACTTCAACCAGGGGCGAAATTATGAGGGGTTGAGTAGGGTCCTATATATATATTCATTCAACCGATTTTCATAAGTAAAATTATTTTGGGTATTAAAGGTACGCTCGTTAAACTTTGAGCGAACTTCGGAATAGTAGAAAATACAAAGAATATCAACCAAAAAACCGAAAAAAGTCCTTTGAAATCAACCAAAAAACATAAACAATATGTCGAAATTAACCAAAAAACCCATTGGGCGACTTTGAGGGCCTTTGATCCACCTTAAAGGTGCACCCGTTCAACAAAAATCTCGGGTCCACCACTTCATGCAATATTATTATTATTAGTATTGTATGGTGCGTTTGTTTTGCCGAAATATTTTTGAGAGATTTGGATTTTATGGAAGCATTTGAGATATTTGGAATAAAAATTGAATTCTTTTCTTAATAGATAATTTATAAAAAACAATTAAATTATTATTTTTATTAATTAATAATTACAATTTTTTAATTTAAAAAATTATTAAAAACAAATCTCATGAACTACAATTACTTTCACGAGCTTTATAAATCAAATATTTATGGGATTTCATCAAAATCCCGAAATTTCAAATTCGAACATTTCTTTAAACCAAACATAAGATTACAATGACATCCAATTCAAAGTCCTACAAACCAAACGAAACAGTTATTAGATCCCATAAATTAAAATTGTCAATTACCCATGATCAATGAATTTTTAACTGATCTTAGAGTTGTTTGGTAGTTGTTGAATGGTTTGGTACAAAATGATTAAGAAACCCCATGATATAGTACAAAATAAAATATAATTGTTTACAATGAATGATTAATGGAGACCCATGACATAAAACCATTCAGAGTGTTTTAGAATCATTAAGAGACAGACTTTTTTTTACCAAACAAGATTCACCTCTTCACGATTAAAAGACTGTCTCTTAATAAAACTATCAAAAGATAAACAAACAGCTTCTTATTAAATAATACAGAAAATTGATTAATTTTTTACGTTTAATATTATTTATTATGATTTAAATATTACTTATTAATAAAAATTTTGTGATTGTATGCTAGAGGTGGGGTGGGGGTGCATGTGCACTTGTGTGGTGTTTGTTGAGTGTTGATATCAACCTTAGCTGTTAAGTACCATAATCACCTCTTTGATTGCAACTCCTACCTGCCCTTTCAAAAAAAAAAAAAAAAAAACTCTTCTCTTTTCACTTAATTCACCTCTGTTTGTATAGATTGGAAAAGTTTTTTAAAGAGTTTTTTCATANGAATAAACATCTCATTTTAAACATAAAAAATCTAAAATATAATTAGGATAATCATTGAGTTCTAACAGAATACTTAATTATTATCTTTATAAAATTTTATACTATTAAACCAAAAATAAATTATTTTATTATTAAACTTAAATTAAATTATTAAAAAAATTCTATACTATATTATAAAGCATTTGACAAAAACTCTTAAAAACTAAAATCTTAAAAACTACTTTTTATGCGTAAAGTACTGTTTATTAATGCATATTACTTAAAACTCAAGATTACAAGTAGATTG